TAACCACTATGTGATAGTGAGGTTAAAGAAGTAAAGTGGCTATTCCACCTTTTAGCTTACAGCTAGGACTTTGTTCTCGTCATTTTCATTTTTCTTCACTTTAAACTCTCCCTTTTCTCAGTTTTTAATTTTGTCCCTCTGCCCTATCAAGCTGCCCCCTAATTTCTCCGCGTCAACCTCTCATTTATCTGTATCTATCTCACGTTCTTTGTTTTTCTCAGCTCATTTCGTTAGCTACTGAAATTGAAACACTAGATTCCGGGTCTTATCTCTGTGTGATCTGCCTTGATCGCCAACCAAAGATGCACTAACCATTTTAGCTCCGTTCGCTGATCTTGTAGTTTCCGTGATATTCATTACTTTGCAACTACCTTACAACTGACAGGTGGAAACCGTTCCGATCTGGGCCAAGCGTTGTTTAATAAACTGATGGGTTTGAGCACCAGCAGATGCTGACACTTTGACAGCCCCTGCCAGGCAGTGAGGATATGTACCGGACCCCGTGCCCCTGAACCTCATGCATACTAAGATCTCCCATGCCCCACAGCCCTTGTCAGGCCTCTTCGGGTTCAGGAAGTACCTCGCCATTCTCTTATTCGCCAGAGAGCACTTCCTTTTTTTTCCTTTTTTCTTTTCTGCGTTTCCTCAATGAGGCCAGGCTTTCCCTTTTATTGTTCGGGTCTCCATGGCAAAACCTGGAATCCAGAAGCCATGCATACTAGTGCAGATCCAGTCCCAGCCCGGTGACCGGGACACAGTTTTAAAGACGGTCCATTATATACCAGGGCTATTCTCTGGTCCAGTCTTGGCTGCTAAGCCACATTGTGATGCTTTACTGGAAGCGCAATGATCCAATCGAGCCCAGAGTGCGCTGTGATTTCTCGTAATGAGATAATGAGAATTCTAGGAAACCAAGCTTTCCGAGAAAATGGGGCGATCTCATTGGAGCACGTCCGTTTGCACAGCAAGCTCAAGCTCGGTCATGTATCCGCCTTCTCCTTACCTTGACAAGGAACCCCAATATCTAAAGTGACTCGTGGCTATGACTGTCATTCGATCCGATTCGAGACGGATGCTGTATGCCAAAAGTACTGACTATTTTAGACGTGCAGGTCATATAAAAAGGAAAGAAGAAGAACGAGGGTTGTTTGATACCGGCGGCCGCAGCCAATAGGATTATCTTATGTCGACCATTGTCCTATCATTGGCAAACATGCGCACGTTCATTGCTCCCGCAACCCCCCGTCAGTAGGGTAGGTAGGTGGGCGCATCTGAGAGGGTTCCTGCAAACGTAGCCGGCGGCTGTCTGCTCCGCGACCGCTTATTCCTGATGCCGACTTGGCCTGTCACTTTGGATGCTGTTTCTTCTATGAGAGCAGCATGTCATCACCCAAACACTGGAGTGGCGAAAACAGAAGCACCAGTGGATGGCCCATTGGGAGGTGATTGGATGAAACAGCTCAGAGATCTCAGGCCTTCCCAACTAGGCTTGATAGGTCTTGCGGTAATGACTATCAAATCAGGTCACTTGGTGCAACGTTACTTTTGTGAAACAGAACCTCTAAAACGCCGGGGTTTTCTGGCCTGCCTGGTCTACTATCAGCATGCCTTGAGGGTCCTCCAACTCACAAATTCTTATTTTCTTTCTTGAATAAGAATGCAACACGGAAAATTGCATGTTACTCCCCTGGTACAAGCAGAGCAAGAACAGTTAAAGTATCAAACTAGAAACCCACCTCGAATCAGGACGTGACGTTAATTCCCCTTGGAACTGGGGAAATGCTCCTGGTGAGGTGATGATCGGTCTGAAAATGTATCCCCAAGGCTAGAAGCCAACAGCAGTGGCCTTTCCCCACGCAGAAAATAAAATGGAAATTAAACCAATTGAACCTAAAAGGAAAAGGGCCAGGCCTTCTTCTAGCAGCAAGACTACGCACCACTGACACATGGACTTAAATCTGGCCTTGCTTCCGGCCAAAACCCCCCCCTCATCCCTCCCGGTTTCTTTCTGAATATTTGATGGAAGACGGAACATGCTGGTCCCTATCATCCCTGATCTATCGACCTTTTTATGCTCGCAGCAAACCTTTGAGAAGTCTTTTTACTCCTTAGTCTTGTCTTGACTACATATGAGTCTTGCAATAGAGAAACCATGTTTTCCTCCGCACTGAATGGTCAAGCTGTGATGGCTCAATCTTACTACTCTTCCGTGGACGAGGCCGGCTTCTGTCCACAGTCCAAGCGAGACGCTTTGTCAATAGCACACTCCGTACGGAGTGAATCTCATCATGACATGGTGGATAGAAGCTCTGCTTGTGTGAGCCCTAGCAGCGAGCTAGATAGCAAGAGCCGGAACTCCACCAGGCGTCGGATACAAGTGGCAGTAAGTCACTTATCTAAAGCTGAGATGCGATTACAGAAGGGACAGACACTGATCATAATCAGTGTAACCGATGTCGGAAAAGAAAGATCAAATGTAGTGGCGACAGTGGCAATGGACATGGTTGCTCTAACTGCATCAATGCCGGAAACAAGAATTGTCAATTCTTGAGGGTATGTACTGTGTCTCCATCCGAGACCTCAGCTCTAGAGACAATTAGCTGATCAGCCATAGGTGAATTCGGAAATGATGCAGCCGAGAGCCAGCGAATGGCCCCAGATCTCAGGAGCTACTACGATGTCTCCGTCTCCAAGATCCGGTCTGTATGTACCGACGACCTCACCCAATCCTCGCATGGCCCCTTTTCCGCGGGCCTCTAGTTATGATCTCGGATCAGCCGATCCTCATAGTGCATACCATCGACACCCCTTTGGGGTGGACCACGGGTTGCCCTACTCAGATGAGGCTTCAGTGTATTCATCTCCGTCGTCTGGGTACATCCTGCCGAGTGCTCCATCGAACATTTTCATGGATCACTGCGGACAGACATGGAACCCGAAGTTGTGGAATCAGAGTTTTCCTGTTGGCAGGAGTCCCAGTGGACCAGTATATCCAGACAGCGATGCCGAGGCCGCCCTGGGTCAATCGGCGTTTTACATTCCTCACTCGACGGAAGGCCTACCAATCGTACCAACGATGAGCTTTCCTACCGCAGAAGGGCAAGGGACGGACCGAACGCTTCCCAATCCCAGTCGGAACCAAGCTCAGATGGGGATGAACACCTTCACGACAACTGAAGAGACACTCTACGGGATACCATACGGGTACCGGACCAGCAACAGTTGGGCCCACAAGAGCGCCATGTTAAACCATGGCCGCATGCAGAGCCCAAGTGAGGCTTACAGAAGCGGTCCTATCAACCGGAGTAGATCGGCACAAGATATGATGTTTGGGTACTTGCCGTCGAATGGCAGCTCATCACCTTTAGTCGCTGCTGGTTCGTTTGCTTCTGCGTTGGATGACACGGTTGAGACGAGCGACGGGCTTCGCGAGAGCCCCAGCGACAGCCACCAACCATCGCGGACGTTCTCGCATGACCATCTTTCCGACTACGGCTCCGATACCTATGTGTATAGCAGTAGCGAAAGGCGCGACAAAAACCACTCGCACACCGACGGGGCAGGGTCGATGTTGATGAGCGGGCTCACGTACACGCGCCCAGTGCCGGGACATCCCAGTCCACCGCCGTTGGTTCACAGCCCAGCGTTTCGAGCAGCCACGGAGATACACCACCACACCGCCATGCCGTCGCTGAATGGTGCGAGCGAGTACTAGGGACTGAAGTGACCATGCGTCCCGATGAACGTCCAGGGTAGTTTACAAGCTCTCTATAGACCGTTAAGCGCCTTGGCAGCGCCGATCCCCAGTTGGCCACCAACAAGGGCCCTAATCCTACAAAACAGCGACGTCGGCAAACAGCACCAGTTTTCAAAGCCGAGTGCTTTATGTTTGTGGCCTCTTTACATATGCCCACTCAGTGAGAGAGAAAAACAAATAACTCAAATGTTACACTACTAATCTTAGGGTCGGTTGGCTCTGTGTTTTGATTTGTTTCTGCCCCTTTATTTTTGTGTTCTTTTTCAGCCGGGTGCTATTGATTACCTTGTCAGGATGACATGATCCCTAGGGTGGGCTGGCTGGTTATTCTTTGTTCGCAGGTGGCTCGTTGGATTTGATAACCCATTGCTCAATTAATTGTCTCGAATTGTTACATTATCTGTTGGGCCACGGAAAAGAGGGGGCGCCGTTGTTACTGCTACTATTGCTATTGCTGTCATAATACTCTTACTATGTTTTGATTACCCCATCCATTTATTCCTGTTTTGTTTTACACTTTTACTCTTACGTTGACAGGTCTTTGTTAATGCTGCCTGGCAGCCTAATGGGTTACACCCGCGTGACCTTAATATGGGAGGGAGAGAGAGAGAAGAGGGGAGGGGAATGTATGAAAATAATAATAAGGATAGCATTTACTTAATTGCATACATACTATTAATCTATACGTTTAGACATGCTGTGAATAATTGTAGATACTCTGATAAATCATCTACAGTATCCCTTTTCTCTTCAATTGACCTCTACCTATCCCATTCATCCTCCAAATCCCAACCCAACCAAGAACAGAGACCCCAGCTCCAGCCCCAGCTCATCAGTAGTATGACCATCTCACTCAAGTAAACCAAACCAAACCAAACCAAACCAAACTACTTACCTGCTTAACTTAACCCTCCCCAACCCACTCTAACCTCCCAAGTGAAACCCCAATCCCCAACTCCCCACATCCACATCCACATCCCCGCCAAGCCGTTACCCCAAGTATTAGTACCAAAACTAATAATATAATACTACCTACCTACATACCTACAGTAAGTACAGGTAGTAATGATAGTACTAACTAATAATAAACTTCGTACACAAATACTTAATTTATACTACTCCAACCATGTAACCCCAAAACCACACCACTGGTCTCCCGGTCTTCCGGGTCCAGCTTCCGCTCGGGTGTATGTGTATGTATACCGTGCCTATGGGGTGATGTTGGGTAGGACAACGAACGGGACAAAGAAAGAGATAGTACTACGTACATACCAAGCTATCGGTGAATACTACCCTGAATTTATTTAGGCTTTGGATATGTCTTACTGTGGTGGTTGATAGTGGGCTTTAGGGGGTAGTATATGTGTGATGTGGGGAATTTCATTACACTACTACTAGTATCTGAAAGGGAAGTTTAATTTGATGATGGTGGTGGTTGTGGTTGTGGTGGCTGGCGATATAGGCGCGTGGGGATAAAAGAAAAGAAAGAAGGATTGTTGGATGGCGTTGGGAGGAGGGTGTAGGCCGGATCGGATTCCTGGATTGGGATTGCCTGTCTCGTCTTTGTCTTCTGGGATCTGGGAGGTGAATGGGCATGTTTATGTTCCCGGACGGAAGATCGACCGGGGGCAGGGGAGATTATCAGCACAGACATTGGTACTGTACTGTAGTGTAGGTACTAATCTAGTGGTTATCGGGCTGGAAGGGAAGGTCATAAGGGTAATAACGAAAAAGGGATATATTTAATTTTAATGGACATCCATCCCGAATATCCCCGGTACGCGCGCGCGAAAGAAGTAGAAGGAAAGAAGTAAAGAAAAACGACCAATCCACACTCATCACCTAGGCGTTTTGTCTTGGAGAAGTGAAAAAAATGTTTTGAAAAATCTTCCCTGATCTTTTTTTTTCATTCTTCATAAGAGGGAGGGGGAATTCGTGATATGATAGAGGGAAAAAAAGAGAAAAAGAGAAAAGAGGAAAACGAGAAAACAAGGAAACACACAGGCGGGTTATGCGGTGCCCGCCCCAATACGGTAAGTAGAATAGAGGGAGAGTTAAAAAGAAACCATGAAACGAGTTTGATGATAACGCCCTCATTCACATACACACACGACAACCACACACACCAACCCAGTGTTCCCTTCCTTTTTTTCCTTTTTCCCCCTTCATATCCAGCAGGGAATGCAGTAAAAAAAAATTGTAACAATTTTTCCTTTCTTCATTTTTCACTTCAGGCCCGGGTCCGCGTGTCGACGATCGTCTTCTTCTCCATCTTCTAATTCTTCGTCGTCGTCCGAGTAGTAAGGTATCCGATGATCCGAAAGTGAATTCGAATCCTGCAACGACCCCCCTCTCTCTCAACCGCACGGAAATCCATCGTGACGATCCGCTTAGTCCTTGTTCTTCTTGGGGCCCTTGGTCTTGGCGGTACCGCGGAACTTCTTGGAGCGGTTCTTCCGTTGCTTGCCTGTAGGGTTTGTGAGTATTGTTTCGACGGGAATAGATTGATGGTATAGGTGGGTGTAAACATACGCTGCTGTCTGCTGGGCTTCTCGACCTTTGTGCCAGCACCGATGCGGACCAGACGGTAGAGGGGCTCGAACTTCTTCAGGGCCTCCTGGGAGTCGTAGATGAGAGCGAAGCCAGTGCTCTTACCACCACCGTACTGCGTACGGAAACCGAAGACGGAGACCTGGTCCTTGTTGGACTTGTACAGGTCGGCGAGCTTGTCGCGGAGCTCGTCCTTGGAGACGTTGGCGCGGTTGGGGTGGAGGACATCCCTGTTGGAAAGAAATCAATCATCAGCATGCCGTTATTCCCTTGCTGGTTTGTCCCAAATTCATGTTGTCTGTCCAATATGTCCGAATTTCAATATCCGATATTAGAGCGCACACACACAAACACACACAAAATATATAACGTAGTATATACTCTGAGTGTGTGCTCAAAAATCGATCATTTCCATCCGGACATATTTCCTCCTCTTATTCCTCCTCTTGTTGTATCCGTCCGTATCCTCTCTGCATTTCCTCCTTCCAATCCTTCCAGCTCATGGTGAAGGGAGCTTACACGACCATCTGCTTGCGAGCAAGCAGGGGGTTGCGGATGAACTTGCGAGTCCGCAGGGTAACGGGAGCGTCGGCCATGGTTGCAGGTGCAGTTGACAGCGAGAATCTGCGTGCGACAGGGAGAAGCTGAAGGGCAGAAACGGGGGGGCGCGGGTTGTCGAAGTCGCTGTCAGTCGTTGGCGGGCTCGAGATGCGCTCGATTCAATTTTGGCAGAGTTTCGTTGTGCATCGCCTGTGGGCTCGGCTAGGCTACACTAGCCGGATGGGGTTAGATTATTACCCTTTGTGGGTGTATCCTTAGTAATACATACCTTACCAGATACAGTTAGAACCATCAACTAAATACAAAGTGAGTTATGCTAGGGTAGCGCATTGCTTACTAACTTATCCAATCCACTAAGATAACCACTTATCAGTAACTTAACTATATCACTTTTTATCTCAACTACAGCGACTCACTCCAATTGCACACATCCAAAATGTCGCTCTCCCTCCTCACAGCCCAATACTTCCAACAACTCGACCCCCACCTCCTCACCTTCCCCGAAGACAAGCACCTCCTCCACCCCACCACCCAAGAAACCATCTACACCACTCTCTTCTCCGAATCCCACGCCGCAAATGAACAACCCCTCCCCCCACCCGCCTACCGCACGCGCGTGCTCAAGCGCCTCATCACAAAACTAGAATCCCTACTCTCCAACCCCGAGGAGGATGTACGCTGATCCTGATTCCATTATCCCTTGAGTATGCGCTGCATACCCTACCCACACCCCCATCCTACAACTGTATCTAACCCACAATTCCCAAATAGGAAATCAACGAATCCCTCCTCGAAGAATACAGCACGCTTCTCACCCTCCCCAAGCCCTCATCAATCGAACAAGCCCAACAACTCACATATATTACCTACACCGCGCCACCAGAAGAAGGCGACGACGACGATCATGACTCGGAGACTAATAATAAGAGACGAACAATCCTCACCTCCGAATCCCGCTCCGCTATCATAACAGCCGGCACAACCGGCCACCGAACATGGGAAGCCGCTCTGCATCTGGCTACGTACCTCTCCTCCACGGCGGCAGGACGGGCGCACATCGCCGGGAAGAAGGTGCTTGAGCTCGGCGCCGGGACGGGCATGGTGTCGATGTTCTGTGCGAGGTATTTGCAGCCGGAGGTGGTGGTAGCGACGGATCGGGAGCTGGGGTTGATGAGGCAGATTAGGGATTGTGCGGGACGGAATGGGTTAGTTGGGGAGGGAAATGATGGTAGGGTGTTTAAGGGGTGGATCTGGGAGTGGGGGAGGGAGTTGTCTAGGGAGAGTGGTGAGGATGATGAAGATGATGAACTGCAGCAGGTGGGAGATGATGTGAAGGTAGAGTTTGATGTTGCACTGGGTGCGGATTTGGTACGTTCTTCTCTTTTCTTTCCCTTCCCTATTTTTCCCTTTTGCTTTGCTGGGTTATGGTCTGTGGTTTGTGGTTATATCATGGATAGACAACGTGCAACTCTGGCCCGGAGTACTGGGTGCAATCGCCTAATTCGGAGCGAATTTCCCGAGCACTATCCAGTTCCTCTGGCTATGGTATCTAGCAAGCTACCTCTGCACTGGAGAGATGGTGTGCATCATGTCGTGTCGTGTCGTGTCGTGTCATATTAAGTGCTGTTGTGTCGCGTTGCACTACATACACACCTACCTACCTACCTACCTACCTCCTCCATCCCAAAAACGAGGAAAAAAAAACTGACAGGTACCTCAAATCCAGATCTACGACATCGACCTCGTCCCCCTCCTGGTACAGACCGTCAAATCCCTCTTTGAGAAATACGCCGTCAAGGAATTTCTCATCTCCGCGACATTACGCAATGAGCGGACGTTTGGGGCGTTTTTGGATGCTTGTGGTGCGAATTTCCCTTACTTCTTATACACTCCTCATTTCGATAATATTGGGATATGTAGTGTGAAACTGACTGTGTTTGTAACGAGCAGAGCAAAGTGCGCTGAAGGTGGAACGGGTGCCGTTTGAGTCGCCGGCGGAGGAGCATCAAAGGGGGTTTTTTCATTCGACGGTTATTCCGATTAGGACGTATAGAATTACTGCCTAATTCGATCTCGGTTGTAAGAGGGGTTGTGTATAGGTATGGGTGTATAGACAATAGAAAAGAGTGATCATCTAGATAAGTATATACCTCTATAAATCATAGGCATTTGTTTGTATAATTCCATTAGAAAAGGTACTAACTACCCCCTCTTCTAATGATAGTAATATAAATATTTTCTGTATGTGTATGCAATATAGACATCGCTCATGGGTATCATAATATATCTAAGGAACGCCCTCACTCCAAGACAGGATTGAGTGAATAAAAGAGTAAGTAATGAACCACAAAGGGAATGTGTGCATACACCCCAATAGTGTATGCTGGAACCACGCTCATCAACACTATAAGGTAGTAACTGAATAGAATGACAGCACCATGATCAACAAGATACTCTCGACATTAACAAAATATACCAGTGGTGGTTCACTGGCAGTCGGCCAGACTCTCCCGGAGTAGCCCCTCGTCCACTTGCTCTGCATGCACCGACACCGGCACTCGTGATCGCGACGGAGGTCGGAATCCCAGGATCGGTCCCTTCTGGTTCACGCCCGGGTAGCGGAAGCGCAAAGGAGGGGCCAGCTGAGGCCGATGGTGTCGGCTCTTTCTAGAGGTAGAGCCGGCGGATGAGGGCCTCCGGCTGGGTGTGTTGGAAGTAGGAGCAGAAGCTGTAGCAGATGTCTCCTCGGCGTTGGGTTCGTTGGACGAGGTGGGCGCCGTGCCCCAGTGTCCGCGGACCCAGCCGCCCACGCGTCGGCCCAAGGAGAATTTGCGGGATGAGGTGGTGGTGTCTTCGGGGTCGTTCTCAACCGGGGTTTGACTGCGACTGCCTGCCACTGAGGCAAGGAGTGTTTGCGGGCTTTGGTCGGTTATCATCGCCAGCTCGCTGCCCGCTGTGACGATACTGGGAGAGATGACGGGAGGCGTGGGGAACAAGTCGGCTCTGGAGGACATGATCCGGCGGGGGATGCGGACCGGGACAGCACTGGAGTGGAGGTCGCTCAGTCGCGAGGGACGACGGCTGGGCGTGTGGATGTCCATGCCAGCCACGGAAAAGAGACTTTCATGGGAGGCGCTGCGGCGAGGGCCGCGATAGGGTGTGGAGAACATGCCCTCCTGAACGGCAGGAGAGGCAGCCCGCTCGGATTCGGGATAGTTTGTCGATCGCCCATCTTCCCTCTCCTCTGGAATGACGGACTGCATCGGGGCTCTGCCCGCGTATTCGGCGCTGCTGCGACGCTGGAAATAGTCATGAACCAGTTCGTCGTCAATGCCCGGTATTGACACTCCATCGCCATCCAGCGAGCGATATGCCGCATCGATCTGCGCCTTTTTGAACCGGCCGTTTCGCAGCGGCGAAGAGAAGACCGTGCTGTCAGGGCTTGTCGGTTGGGAGGAGTCGAACCCGCGGTCTACCCGGTCAAAGATGGAAGACGGCTGGTAAGCCGACTGCGGGGAGCTGGCCATCGATTCCGTCGCAGGGGACTGCACAGACCAACGGTGAGGAACCGTCGGGGGAATAGAGACGGAGGTTTGCGAAAGAATCGTGGAAGCGGAGGAAGTCGATGGTTTGGACCGGTGATTCGGCCTGTGAGGGAGGGGTGTTCCTTGTAGCACCGTCGCACTGCCAAGGGAGCGTCTCTTCTTGTTGCGACGGAAGAGTGACCCCCGCTCCTTCTTGATGGCTGGTGAGTGATAGTGGTGATGGATGTGGAATTCCTGCGACACCCGGCGCGACTCCTTCGACTCGAGTTCCTGACTGAGGGTCGTGGACAGCCGGAACTCCTGGTCTTCGGGCCCCAACGGCTGGTGCGACAGAACCTGATCCCGCAAATTCTCGACTTCCTGGTTGGAGCTTTCTAGCATCTCCCGCAACTCCATGATCCCCATCTGTAGGTTGGCGTTGTCTTGTAGGATATCTCGGACGAAGCGGGATACCACCGTTGCGCCGCCGCGATTACGGCCCAACTCCTGGGCCGCTGCGGCGCCCTTCAGTCGACCAGCGGCGCCATCAAGCTCCCGTTCCACGGTCCGCCGCCGTTCCATACGTTGAACCAGCTCCGCATGTCGGTCCCGTTCCTCGCGGGCTTCCTTCTCGATGCGATCCACCTGATCGTGCAGGTCCCGCAAGGTACATTCAGCTTGGCGCCATCGCTGGACGGCCGACTTGGAGTCCTCCTGTGCGGACTGCAGGCTCTCCTGCAGCTTGGATTGTTCCGCTTCCATTTGCGCCAGTTGCGCTTCGAGATCGGCGGCGCGAGCCGCTGAGTGCGTGAGTTTGCGCAGCTCCGCCTCGGTGCTCTCGAGGCGGGTTTCTAGCGACTTGGAGTGGGAGTCAGACTCGGCAACGGCCTTGTTGAGGCCATCGAGCTGTTCTAGCAGACCGCGATTCTCTTCAATGATGCGGGCATTCTCAGCCTGGACTTCCCGCTTTTCGCGTTCTAAATTCTCAATGCTGACGAGTAACCGATGGCGGTCCTCTTCCGCCTCGGCCATGTAGGATTCATGACGGTGGAGTAGAGCCTGGAGAGCAAAGGTTAGCGATGATGAACTGCTAGTGGCTGCCGCCATGGCAGCTTTATCTGGAAAAACAGTCATGACGGACAAAAACGCAATGGGAGAGTACTGGGGACGACGCCAGCATGGAGGATGGTGGTGATGATGGCGGCGAGGAAGCCACGAAGGCATCTCCCGATCGACTGCAATCTATTGCATTCATCTTCGCGAGCCCGAGCGATGATCAAATTCCAATGGTGGGCACCGATCCATCCAAAAATGGTAACAAAAATGTGCGGGTAGACAAGAAGTATGTGCAGCCCGACAGAAGTATGTGGGTGGGCGGGTATACAGGAGAGAGAGTATTAAGGATATAGATAGATAGATAGATATAGATATAGAGGGGCGTCACGCAACACGATGAAACGGTTAAATAAAAGCCAATGGGCAGACATGCAGAAACGAGAAACCAAAGCAAGGCAAGATCCCTGGCCGGTCATCCTTATACAGCAGGGAAGTAAGAGGCCGGTTGTACGACCAGAACTCCCCCGCGGCCGGGAAAACCAGGGTGACGTCGGAGAACCATCCAACGAGCGAAGTTTAAAATGCGAATGAATAATGCAATTAATCCACCGACGGAAAAGTACGGGGAGAAGGGAAAGTGTAAGAAACGGAAAAAAGTAAGAAAAAAAAAAGAAAGAAAAAAAAAAAAAAAAAAGTAGTTCTAACGTACCTGGCCCAGCCTCGCGGCAGTTGCCAAATCCTTTTCGAGCCCCTCCAAGGCGACATGGTTATGGAGCAGGAATGCGCAGTCATCGCGGCCACAGCAGCAACGGGGAGAAGCAGAAGAGGAACTGGTGGCCGCGTGGGAGGGAATGCAGGGCAAATGATTAGCGGCTGGTGGATCGGAATCCATGGCTGGGAAGGAAAGTAGCAGCGGCAGTAGCAGCAGGATTCTTCGGAACAGGTGGAGGAAGTTGAAGCAGAAGGTGAGTTGGCACCCCTACTAGTCGGAGCGATGAGCTGGACTGGAGACGCCAGTTCATCGAGAGACCAGAGAGGCAGTCAGTGAGAGATAGAGGAGAGTTGTGAGAGATTAATTTTAGGCGCTGAAGTGGAGATGGGTGTCTTTGCTTCAGATACAAACCAGTCACTAACTTAGTTAACTAATTATGATTAGGGGGGAAAAGGAGGGAAAGAATCCGAGGCAAGAAAGGGCCCTGTCGGGCCTAGGAAGAATGCAGAGACCGAATCCTGCAGGTCCAATGGCCGACATGCACGACCGGGGGAAAAAGGATTGAGTTGATGGGATGGAATGAGTTCCACTGGAAGAAGAAGTAAAGCGTAAATAATGCATTTCGCCCAGTCGATGATGTCGAACAAAACACAAAAAGAAGTAATCAAGGCGGCAGCTGATTTAGGGTAGCTGATTGGCTCGATCGGGGAAAAGTTACCCACGGCAGCGAAGTTTATCGGTACTGCCATTACGGACAGTACAGGCTTACATACAACACACTCTCATACCGTAGTTTCCATCTACAACAATCATCTACTATGAGTATCGACATATGGGAGGAATTGGAGAATTATCCTCGACACTCACATGAAGATAAAAATAACTCATTCCTGATTAATGCACTGACAACTGTTTGTTCCTTTCCCCGATCTGATCCGGAACAAACTCCACTCCCCGATGAAAATGATACGCAGCAAGCAAAGCAAGCAAGGCAAACCAGGGAGGCTGGTCGGTGCCTGATGGATGCAGCATCCCGTGCCAGCTGGTCCTGTCTCCATCCACTGCTCCATCCGGTCGCCCAATTCCGTCCTCTCCTGGCTCGTTTCATCATCAGCATCAGCATCAGCATCAGCCTCGTCTTCTTCTTCATCGGAAAGCCCAGAGAGTGGACCGGTGTGCATTTGCATATTCCGCTATTCCCTACACTGTCTGCTGTTGTATGTACTACTACCTACAGCGCCTTTTTTTTCCCCCTTCTTTCCCTCAGAAGGGAGAGAAAGGGAAAAGGCATAGCCACTCGCCCCCCAAAGAACTCAAACCCCTGCTGCAATCAATCCATCATGAGATGCAGGTACACAATCTTTCTTCACATGCCACATGTAATCAAACCGTCCATCACATAAAATACTCCCGAGACTACCCAGATCGCCCGCTCAAAGTAGAAAGTCATTACGCACATTAATAAACGCCCCGGCGCCACCCTCCTCGCTAATCTCGTTCACCAGCACTTCGGTCTGTTGGTAAAGTCGCTCCAGCGCGGCCGATGAGGATTTACCCAGCGACACTGCTTTCAGTTAATAATTGAACTATTATCAGTAGTAGATTTCAATGAACATACCGAGAATGGCCGAGTTCAACTCTTCCGCCACGGCAATTCGTCCCGCAGGGTCCAGGTAGTGGCCATGCACTGACCGTCGCGCGTCTTGGTAGGCCACTAGGGAAAAGATGTCGTCCAGCATCTTCCGATCCCCACCCCGCTCCTCTGGTGGATAGTCCAGGAACAATTGCTGCCCGTACTGCACCGCCTCCGTAAGTAGCTCGTTCGATCGCGCTGTGCTCTCCGTTTCCTCCATGTCCATGCCGTCCGCCTCGTAACCATCGCCTTCATGTAGCTGCTCGTCCAACTCCATTTCCTGGTCAAACACTGCGCTGCTGTCAGACAGTCCATTTGACGACTTGCCGCGCTTCGACGGCGACGGCGACGACTCGTTGCACCGACGCATCATCTCCAGGAATTTGCGGCATCGTAGCTTGAAGTGAATCTGCGGGTAGGTCTGCAATACGTTCGCGTAGTAGGCATTAGTATACTTGAGTGCCTTGTCGATATCGCCTTCCAAGATAGCCGCGCGGATCTCTGTCGCCAAATCAGTACAGGAAGAAAAAGAAAAACAACTACAAGGGTGTAAACAGTCATACTTTGCCGGTTGATGGCTTCGACATCTTCCTCCACCTCGTACTTCTTCAACGGTGCCTGTCGACCGTTCTCCAACGCCGTCGACTCTGCCGCTACCTCTTCGGCAAACGCGCGGGCGGTCTCGACATAGCCGTCATGAGCAAGAAACTGCGCCACCAACTCCTGCAGCAGGCCCGATTCATCCAACGGGGGTTGCAGATTGGCCGTGCTGGTCAGAGCAATCTCCGAATGGATCAACGACTTTTCTTTCTGTCCGGAACCATTAGCAACATTACAACACACAGCATAAGTTAGCGTGTAGGTTGGCTTACCTTGACCATGTCATCGATATCAAACATGAAGGGCTGCTGCCCAAAGTTCACTACCAAGTGGACGGGCGGTTGCTTCTTCATGCCCACCGACGGGTAGACCTTTAGATTTCGTAGTTCCCGGAATGCATTTCCTGGTCGTGGTTAGCTGAGGTAATACTCTCGACGTTGTGAGGCAGCCAGCATGGAGGTACCTAAGAACACGCCATTTTTGGTGAAGAAAGCACATCCCGTGGAGAAATTTACACCACATCCCACAGTGTCATTAGCCCCAAACGTCGGACCGTACTGTCGTCCCTGCCCCTGACTTTCTCCGAAGAAGGACTTCCCATCATCGCCATGGTAAGCCCATGATTCCTGTTCCCATCCGGGCAGTCGTTCTACTGAGGCTTTCTTGCTCGAAAATCCGATTCCGATCATTCTATGTTTCCCAGTCAGCATTCCGATGATTCCATACGGGTATAAAGTGGCCTCCGCGTACCCCTCTTTGGGTTTGGATAAGATGGTGATCTCAAAGTAGTAGATCCCGCACTGCGGGGGCATGGGATTATCTGCCCGAACGGCAGCAGCCTCATGTTCATGCTTGTTGACCGGACCAGTGTATCGGACTTCCAACCCTCCGTTCCCAAGCTCCAGGCCGGTGAATTTATCGTCGTCGCTCCATCGGGAGGGGAGTGGTAGCAGATGGTCGTCGTCGCTGGGGGGTTCTCTTTCGATGATATCATAGGTCATGCCCCGATGAGAGGGTGCAATCCGGGGCAAGCTAGCCTGGCTGGAGGAGGTGGAGAGGTTATTCGAGGTGGAGGAGGGAATGGCGCCATCGCGCTGGGCTGCATGCTTTGCCCGACGGGCGGCATCGAGGCGGGAGACATAGCGGGAGTTTTGGAGATATGAGGGGGTGAAGGAGGCTGTGGGCGAGTCGGTGAATGCACCGGGGTTATGATAGCAAGGGTCAAAGCGGGCGAGGTTGGCAAACTTCCGAGAGTAAGGAGGAAGCGAATCGCCGGGCGACGACCTCCATGAGGAGTTCATTTGCATCTCGGCATCCACGGCGGCGGATGGCCTCAGCAGGCGGGCTTCGGGAGAGAAAGGCGGCGGCGGGGGATACGAGGCGGTGGAGGTGGAGAGGGAGGGGGAGAAGGGCGAGAAAGGATGATTGCTAAAGGTGGGAGGGGAGAGAGCGGCGGTCCCCGACAGCACTGAAGCGTAAGAAGACCGACGGGGGATGGAGGAGATACTGGGGATGTTGGAGTAGTAGTTGTAAGTTGAAGGAGTGGAGGAGGAGGAGGTGGTGGTGGTGGTAGTGGTAGTAGTAGCGGCAGTAGTAGTTGAGGTAGTGAGAGCAGCTGCTGCTCGTGGAGCTCCACCGGAAGGGGGAAACGATGCGTCAGTCATGGCTGCTGCTTCTGCTACTGCTACTGCTGCTGCTGCCGGGTACTAACTTAAACGCTTGCTCTGTTAGTTTACTTAGCCAGTACTTTCAAATGATGTCTTTCATTCGTACCATTTGCATCTGCACCATGAATTATGATGAATTTGTGCTCGTTCGCTTGTCCGTTATTTGTTTCTTGTTGATTAACAGTTATACTCTGCACCAGAACTTCCCTCGTCCTTTTGTCGCTTTCCCCGTTGCTCGCGGGTCTGGCTTTGGCTCACTGTCTCGTGGAGTAATGGTTAGTTCTGGGGCACTTCCGTAACCGGGGAGCGTAAGTGGAGCAACATAACTCTCCCCCTAAAGGGCTAGAAGACGTAAAAGAGAGAGATACATACATGAAGCCAACGATCAATCCAGAAACACGCTTCGTGCTCACATCAACACAAGCAGAAATGCCAGCACAAAACCAAAGTGAAAACGAAAAAAAGAATAAACAAAAGAACAAAATCCTCAAGACGGAGAAAAAGAGAAGGACCAGAACCGCGTGCAGTGAATGACCAAAAGGGCACACCTCGCGTGACCCAAGGAGAAAAGTGAGCAGAACAGACCAGAAACAGTCAATCAGTCAGTCTCTTAGTATGACAGACAGAAACATGACGGATGGCCTGATCCGAGCCATAGTTCATATTGGTTATAATTATCACTAATAGAATAGTCCTATTAATACAAATAAGAAGAAAACTGCGGGGAAGAAGGGCAAGACTTCGGCTTCTGTCTCCTTCTCCTCCTCTTCTTCTTCCTTATGATCATGATCATCCATCCATAGAGAAAGCCAAAAAAAGACAGGACCGGTAGGCATACATACAACAATCCCGGGGTATTATTAACTCTTAGTTTAGCTCCTTGTCAGAAATGAGGAGAAGGGGGGAAGAATTCCCCCTCCCTCCCTCTCTTGCCTATTCTCCCCGCGTTTCTAACCCCCCTGGCCCTTGCGTTCATTCATCATTCATTCATTCATCATCTGTTGTGGTCCAAGAGGAATGACGACCTGCTGAGCACTTACTTATTTCCCGTTCCCTTTCTACCCATCCATGGGGCGGATTGTGGGGTAGACTCTTTCTTGATGTCAAATGTTGGTATGTCTAGACTAGAACTGGGCGGGACTATGATGCCAGGATTGTGTATCACCCCCGGCTCTGGCGCCATTGGGGGGGAACACACACCCCGGGACGGTCCAACCCACGATTCTTCCTTCGTCCGGGAGCATCCTTGAACAGGCAGGGAGAATTCGTCAGTAAGGTATACAGTATAGTAGATAACCACTCCGTAGCTAGGATACGAAGTCTATTGCTCTACTGTATGGAGACCTTTGCTAGTACTCTGGGGGAGATGTGGGCAGCACGACGAATGCTGACAGTCTTGGCTACCGGAAATATCCCCCCGTCTTTGCTTTTTAGGCGTCGAGGGATGTAACATCGGCTCCTGCCACATTGTATCACCTAAATATATCCCACAGTGCAATGACGGAGGCAAGCATCCCTTGATAGTAGCCTAGAGACAGACAGCTTTCCTAGCGGGCAGTCATAGAATGATGGTACCTCCGGTTATCTACGGACTACAAGACAACTACTAGTCTAGATGAATATAGTGAGCACGTGCGGCCCTTCAGGTGCACAATCGGCCTTCAATTCCATATGGGACAACGCAGACAATGCTGCCATTCCAGTCCATTTTGGTATTCATGTCTCGAATATGCGGCCAATCGCCGATAAAAAAAGAAAATTCCCTCAACCCCTTGTCCAATCCCATAAGCGAAATCTCTACTGATACAGAACAGTGGTAAATAGTAAGAAAAACCGAGCAGTGAAAGCAAGAAGGCAAGCAGCTCACAGAGGAAGAGCCCATGAGATGTGCAGGATGCACCGCCACGTCCCCATGCCAGAGCCTCAAATACGTCTCTCATGCGAGTGAAGCGCTGATAAAGTCCGGTAACCGTCAAACCCAACGCCAACCCGAGCAACACGCAAGTGCAGAAACAGAAAAGCCATCACCAAGAACATCGAAGGAATAAAGGTAGTAGTGTGTCAAAAAGTAATGTACAGGAAGGACAATATGTCGTTGGTGGAGGAAGCAACAGCGATTGCATGATTCTTCAAGCAGTCATGGCGATGGCAGGAGAAGACGCTTCCGTCAGGTTGGGCGGAGCGGGAGTAAGTTCACCATCACCAGTGCTCTTCTCGCTGGGGACGCCACTGGCACTCTGGTTGGCCTTGCTGTCGCTGTCGCCAGTCTCAAGAGCCATGCCCTGAGACTCGTCGTTCTCCTCGGACTTCAACGGACGGGGAGTACGCCAAGAAGGCAGCATCCATTGAATACCAGTGAAGCTCTTGAGCTGAAGAGGCTTACGCTCCCAGCGACGGCATGGGGCCCCGGTGCGATCTAGAGCGCGTAGACCAGCATTGATGGCACCCAAGTTGGCCTTGGGACCGAGCTTGTGAGCGGCCACTAACTTGGCAGTGTCGACAGTGCCGTCATCACTAAAAGACAGTTAGCAAATGCACCATTACCAATTGATCGGGTTGGAGAACATACAGTCGGGGCTTCTTCTTGGGACCTGGCTTGCCTCTCGGCTTCGGGGTGGTCTCGCCCGTCTGGTTGAGGCCTCGTTTGGTGCCCGGCTTAGGGCCCGGAACGCCCTTGCGACGAGGTGTGTCTGCAGCCGAGGTGCCTGCGGCGGGGGTGGACGCAGCATCGGAGGCATTGTCCACGGACGAAGGAGGGAGAGGTAGTTCGGCGGACGAGGAAGCCGGGGACGAAGGCTCCTGAATTTTGACGGGCGAGTCGGTGTTGCTGACGCTACCCCGTTTGCTCTTCTTGTCCTTTCCCTCGGGCGGTGGTGTCACGAACTGGCTCAGCAGATCGGTAGACAGCTTGAGGACAACAATCCTTTTGGAAGGTCCAGATCGGCTGGAGCGACCGTTTGCGGTGGAGCTGGCAGAGCTGGCGGCCGGCATGGTGGATCGTCTCGACGTCGAGATCGTTGTTGGAGTTGATGAGATAGGTTGGGTTGCCCCTTCAGACGATGCGAAGAGGAGAAGGGGAGGAGAGTAAGATGAGAAGGGACCCCCCCGATCGGGTTGTTTAGGCAGAGACCACGGCCAAACGTAGGCGAAGGTGAGGTGGGTGAGGATTAATAAAAGCCGCAAGACTGAGTTGAGGCGAGGAGGTAGAAGAATTAAGTGACGATCGTGACGTGGGTGTTGAGGGATTGGTTGGTGGGATGGAAGGGAACCGGATGAACGGTGGTGGTGTTAGTCGTGGGCGGCGGCGAGACTCGGTCAGAGAGAGGCGAAAGTCTGGCAGGGCTGAAGAGGGAGGCAGTGGACGTGAGGCGCTGGTGACATACTCCGGTGGTGAGGATAGGGCGGTGGTGGTGTAGGTGGAGTTGAGGGTGAGGATGATGATGGTGATGGGGAAGGAAGATGGAAGGAGGGAGAGGAGAAGAGAAGGAGGGAGACGGGGAAGGGAAGAAAGGGATGGATGGGGATGTCGAGGCGCCGAGTGGTGGTTTCATTGTGGTGTGTGTGTGTTTCTCACGCTCCTCGTCTAGGGAACGACAAGCCAGACTTTTCTGGTGCGGTCAGTCCAGGAGAGAAGCTGAAGGTCAGTTCCGACTGCCTACTGACTTGCCCTTTCGCCGCCCGCCCTTTCCGTACTTACTTCCTTTACGGAGAAATCCCCCCATTTTACTGGGTCCGGCGCGTTACCGCCGCGTCTCCATACCGTCCGATACGCGTCTTGTTCTTTAGTAGATAAGCAATTTACTACTGTGGTAGCTAGCAAAGTTGCTTCTCTACAGCTGGCAACAGAACGGTTCCTGTCTGGTCAGAAACACTGGGAAAACACCCCCATTTGGACGGTTACCAGTACCATACCACGCGCATCACATCATCTCCTGGACTATCCGGAGCCGTATGCGTATGAATGCCTTCATTCAGACCATGAAAACCATGAACTGCAATTTTTATTATAGCTACATCTATTCACTTCTTAAACTACTACTTGAATACACTGATACCATTCAATAGACCAACAATACAACAATACTTATATAAATAATACTCCAACAGAATACAAGAAACCCATTTATTCACTCACTACCAGCCACATTCTCTCATCCATATTCTTCCCAGTCCGGTCCTCTCTCCCACTCACTTCTTCCCTCTTCCTCCCATCTCTCCTGATCACGAAAATGAAAAAAATGAAATGAAGGAAAGGGAATGGAAAAAAAAAAATATGGATCGCCCGTCCCGCCTGGCGCCGCTTAGACTTTTGGGTCATAAAATAACGAACGAACCGCAGCCGCTTCCGGCTTTCCTTCCTCTTATTCCCTTTCCTTTCACTTGGAACTAAATTTTTCCCATTTATTCGTAAGCGTTCAAAAAAATCAATTTTAATTTCGATTTTTCTTTATTCTCAGGTTAGTTTACATTGGATGATCAATCGATCCATCCGTTTGCACACCTGATGCAGGATACGAAGATACATGCTTTGGAACTTAAAAAAAACCATGCATCGTGCATCAGCTGAGTCTTATTTCCAAGAGGGAAAGGAAATGTACAGTACAGGATAGAAGAGGAAAGAAAGAGACCAAACCAAATCCTGGAAAAGGAATCGACTTTCTTTGAATTGGAGAGACCGACTGGCCTATCTACTAAGTAATCTAACAACTATACTTACTACTAGTAACATCTAGCTACATATTTTCCCCCTCCGGCCAAGTATCTAGTTAACAAGGATCCGGAGTACACTAAAATGCCACTATCCAGGGGGGTTCAGTTACTACAAAGTGCAAGGAAGAAAAGAGGGGGTAAGAAGGGAAGCTCGGAGCAATCAATCAATCAATCAATCGACCAGCCAACCAACTAGTAACAACCACCGCTGCACTAAAGGGATTCTATCCATGAAATCCCTCAACTGTGAACCAGCATATCTGGCCCCGATCGGCCAGGCTGCCTTGCCTTGGCCATAATCCATTCCATGGTCAACTATCTTTGGCATTTATTTGTTAGCAGTATTGGAACAGTTATTTGTATAGATGTTATACTAAGACTCCAGAATCTGACAATAACAACACACACATATATATACGTTGTACTATCTACATGTCCATGTCTACAGTAGTAGTATGTATAGGCTGGTTTGCTGGGAGTGAAACAGGCCACGCATTCACCGCGGCAACTGCCAATAGGGATGCTAATGATTTTGATCGCCTCATGGCTGAATTCTGAGCCGGACATTAATTCACTACTACTATTGTGTAAGATCGACACCACCATCGTTCAGATTAATCTACCGGGTGAATGTAGGGAGTAAATACAACAATCATACTACTATTCCTTCCCTCCATTTGAACTGAATATATATTCAACTAAGAAAAGAAAATGTATTCTACTACTAAAAAAAAAAAAAAAAAGAAAATACAGTATCTTCACTTCACTTCACTTCATCACTTCAATCTGCCTTCCCCTGCTTCTTCCGTCGAATGACCTCCCCAACCGCCTGCTGCACTCCCGGACTAGCCCGAACACTGCCCAGCACCAGCGCCTCCTGCATGCCCTTCCGCAGCGCCGTCACGCCCTCACGATCACCCTTGAACGGCGCAAACCCCAACTGTAGCAGCCGAGTCGCTTCGCCATCCGTCGCCCGAGAGAGCTGCGCCAGCTGACCCAGTTTCTGCATGGTCTGCGGATGCAGACGATCGCCCGGGGCAGACGACGCCCGTTTACTAATCTCCGGCGGCGTGACCTGCGAGATGAAGATGTGCAGAGTGACCGAGGCACGCTGGGCCAGCGTCAGGATCTGAAACGGCAGGAGATAGAATTCGGGGCCCTTGGACGAGAATCCCAGCAAACCCTGCAACCCGGCGGGGATATAGCTCCACGGAAGTAGTAATGCCGTAGGACGTGTAAGTAGGATCGACTCGAGGGTAACCAGCGCAGCGAAGGTGAAGTAGCGCCACTAGACGAAAAGCATCCACCATTAGCCATCATAAAACCCAAGCCCAAGTCGAAGAACTGCATTTCAAGTAAGAGAAGGGGAAAAGAGGAAACTCACATAACGTCCCCACTCCGACCAGTACGTAAACTGCAGCACCACAATAGTAACCAACCCGATCACATACTGCGGCAGGGACCGCTGCAACCCAGCCATCACAAACTCCTGCAGGGTCCTCTTATCGCCCCAATTCAGCATGTCCGGGCCATACATATCATATGCGACCCGCTTCACAGGGTCGAGGAGCGTATCCTGCGCCAGCCTCAGATACACAAAGTAGCTGTCGGACACGGCGCCGCCGGCCTTATCTGGGTGATGCTGGGCAGCCAGGCGACGGAAGCGCGATTTGATAGTGCGTTCATCGGCGAACGGAGAGACACCCAGGGCGCGGTAGAAGTCGCCTGCGACTTGTACGCGATGGAAGGTCTCGTAGAGAGTGTAGAGGAGGTAGCTGGTCACGACGAGGATGTAGATGCGCCGGCGGTGTCGCGCATAGCGCGGAGTGCCGGGCTGAGGGCGGGGTTCGCCTGCACGGATGGTGATGCCATAGTAGACGCTCTGGACGATGGAGGTGACATACTGATGCGAGTGTTGTTAACAATTGTGTATTTCGTACTGCGCAGCACGGCGCTTATAGAACTGCGGAGGGAATGGACACGGTACTCACGTTTGGGAGGACAGCCCAACCGAAGAAAGAAAGAAGCGACGACATGGGCGGGATGATATCTCAACAGAACAAACAGTATTCAAGCCTCCATCAAACCAGTAACCAAATACCAACAGTACCAAAGACCAACGACGACCAAAATGCTGGTCCAGAAGATGTCTGTCCATATGCCTCCGACTATAACACCCACTCCGGATAGAAGCCCGCCTCACCGCCCACCCCACCGCCCGCCTCCACTCGTAAATCCGAAAAGAAAAAAAAAAAAGTCAAGAGGGTAAAAAAAAAAGGCATCTGAGTTCCACCGGCATCAAATCAATCAACACAACCTGCCCTCCATTGCGCCGCCAATTCCCCTCCCCAATAGACACAATGGCCCTCGACGCAATGGACCTCGACCCCCACCCGACAGGGCCAGCCAGACAATCCTCGCCCGAAAAAGACCGCAAGCGCAAACACAAGGACACCACATCACCCAGCAAGAAGAAGCGCAAGCACGAAAGCGATGCCACCAGCAGCAAGAAGAGCAGCAGCAGCAGCAAGAAATCCCAGTCCAAGACTAGCACCAGTACTAGCAAACCTACGACCCCCGACTCCCCCTACACCCTCACCACCGCAACGCTCTACCTCCCACTCTCTCCGATCTCCATCTCCCCAACCCACGCCCTAGCCTCCCTGCTAGCAGAGCACCTCTCCCCGCTCCTTCTCACCTACTACGCCCCCCTGAAAGGCATCGTCCTCGCCTACTCCAATGCCTCAATCTCCAGCACCCCGCCGCCCTCATCCACCAACATCGTCAACGCCGAAGACCCCAACCTCCCGCAACCACTGACTCTCGCCCGCACCGCCGGCGAATACGGCGTCCTGTACGTCTACCTCACGGCGACCTTCCTGGTATTCCGGCCCCAGCGCGGCCAGATCCTCGAGGGATGGGTGAACGTGCAATCGGAAGGCTTCCTGGGCGCCATCGTCCTGAACCTGTTCTCCGTAGGCATTGAGCGGAAACGTCTACCCCCGAGCTGGAAGTGGATTCCTCCCGGCGAGGAATTGGAAGAAGAGCAGCAGCAGCAGCAGACATCCACCACCTCCGCTACAGAAAAGGAAGACGATGAAGACAGCGACTCCTCCTCCACCTCCGAAGGAAGAAAGAAGAAAGCTGCCTTCGACCCCGCCAAGGAACTCTTCCGTCCCATCGCTCTCGCCGAGGACGTGAACCCCCTCGCTGATACGGATCCTACTTCCACCTCTACCAACAACAACAACAACGCCACAGGCGACTACGACGACGACGAAACCGCCGCTGCGGAAGGATACTTCCAGTCGGTGTCTGGCCACCGTGTGCGCGGCACGATCAAGTTCCGGGTCGTGGATGTGGATGTGATTCCTGGGTCGGAGCGGGAGAGCGGATTCCTGAGCATTGAGGGTACGATGCTGGATGAGGAGGAGGAGAAGAGGGTTCTGGAGGAGGAGAGGACGGGCGTTGTTTCTTCTTCTTCTTCTTCTGCTCCTTCTAGCTCCTACGGTGGTAGTGGTTCTACCGGTATGACACCCAGAAAACTAGGCTCCGTGACTACCATGTCTGGTGCTTTGGCCATCCGGTCTGCTTCTGCGTCGGTGGCGCCGGAGCTGGAGCCGGAGGTGGTGGATGTGCATGTGGAGGAGTCGCCTAGTAAGGTGAAGAAGTCTTCGTCGAAGGAGAAGAAGGAGAAGAAAGAGAAGAAGTCCAAGTCTTCGAAGAAGGAGAAGACTAAGGAGTAAGTCAGTCAGTCAGTCATGTTGATGATTGATTGAATGATATGAGTGGGATGGGATGGGGGTTGGGGAGGTGGGAGATGGAATAACTTGACTTGTTTATAAGTATGTGTGCATGTTATATAGTATCTTTCTTTTCTTTTTCTTTTTCTTATTCTTTTTTTGTGTATGTGTGTGTGTATCGTATTCAGCTTTGTTTGTGGTTGGCGTTAGATGGGAATATCAAAAATTATTTGGTTACTCTGACTATGATTGTCATTTTGTTGTTGTTGTTGTTGTTGTTGGATGATATATCAAGGCTGGAGTACTCCTGAGGGGTTAGAGGACAAGAGTTATGAAGCCATGCGTATTGAAAGAGGCTGCTTGGTCTAAGACATCTATACCGGTGTAGTTCGGGCTCTCAAATATTACTAATAGGCGTATGATGTCCAAAGAAGAATTACAGTAGTCATAGTCGGGTGGTAAAAGACTACAGGTTACTACGAAGCGGAATATATATATCACGTTATGAACTATACAATAGTCATCTTTCATTGCAGTAAATTCATTATCATGGCCAATTAAATACAACTAGATCCTCACAGACTCAGGCACACCCACAGTCAACACATCCACCCCACTCTGGATCTGCGACTTGGTCGGCATGTTCTTGCGCCGCATCAGTTCGGCGCTCTTGACCATCACCGGGTCCATGCCCATCGTGGCAACGGCCACCACTGTGTCACCCTTGCAGTAATACGCAGCGAACTTGGCGTTCTCGGGCTCTCCCTTCATCACTAGATCGTCCCATCCGCCCACAGTGCTTCCGCAGTAGCGAAGCTGGGCACCCAGGGCGGACCAGAAGATGGGGATGAACGCCTTGGGCTTGAGGGATTGCAATGATCCGCTGTGGACAATTGCGCGTGCTACTCCGCGTCCGGCGTTTTGGGCCACGTTCCAGTGCTCGATACGGGTGTATGTGCCCTTGTCCTGATCTGCTCCTGGCCCGTGGTACGGGTAGGTGGCGATGTCACCGATAGCAAAGACGTCGTCGTTCAGACCGGGGACCGCAAAGTGCTCGTTGGTCTTGATGGACCCATCCTCCTCGAGGGTAACGGATGTGTTGCCTTGGAGGAAGTCAGTCGCGGGACGCACTCCCACTCCGAGAATGACCAGATCTGCTGGAAGCACGGTGCCGTCTTTCAGGTGGACTGCGCCGACCTTGCTGGAATCGCTGCTGGAGGGAGTTGCCTTGTCCACGCTAGCGGAGAGCTTAAACTTGACGCCCGCCTTCTCCAGGTTACCCTGGAAGATGCGGCCGACCTGCTCGCCCATTACACGCTCCATCGGGGCCTTCTCCATGCCGACGATGGTGACGTCGTTCTCCTTGGCAAGGCAGTTGCCCACCTCCATACCAATGAAGGAGCTGCCGATGACAACGACCTTCTTGTTCTTTTGCTCGCCCAGTGCCTGGTGAATGGCCTGCACGTCCGGAATGGTGCGGAGCACGAAGATGTTTCCAAGGTCCTTGAAGCCTTCCAGAGGGAGGGTGCGCGGCACACCTCCTGTCGCCAGGACCAGCTTGGTGTAAGGGTACGACTTGCCAGACTTAGTAGTCACCGTCTTCTTCTGGAAATCAACGCCCGTCACATCATCATGGGCGACCTCAATAGAAGCCTCCTTGTACCACTCCTCAGGCCGCCACTGAATTTTCGCGGCATCCGCAATCAGCGCCTTGGACAGCTTCGTACGGTCAATAATGAGGTTCGGTTCGCGGGTGATGACCGTGATGGCACCCTTGTACTTCATTTCACGAATCGCCTGGACCACACCAAACGTACCACTTCCACTGTAAGAGATCCCATTAACACCTGACCTTAACTTCCTCAAAGATCTCGACTTACCCGCCAACAACGACCAACTTCTCCTGCTGCGAAGCACTACACTTGACAGCAGGATCCCTCTGAGCCGCCTTAACATCGGCTTCATTGGCATTAATATAGACAGCGCCATTCTTCTCAAACACCTCGAACTTCTTCAACGCATTCGGGGCCGGCGCATCCTCAACATCACCAGTCTCGACATTGAAGCAAGCTATCCAACATGTACGTCAACTCTTTATCCTCATCTATACCCAAGGGGCATCAAAAAAAATAAACAGTAAGAATAATAACATACCACCATGCCAAGGACAAGTAATTCTCCCCTCAGGAGCCACGACACCCAACTTCAAAGGAGCACCATAGTGGGTACACTTAGGGGTCATAGCGTGAACCTGACCATTATACCTAACCAAGAGGACCTTGCCATCCTGAATACCGTCGACTTCGCACTCGACCTTGTCCATGTCCTTGACGTCCGCCAGGGACGTGATGTCCTTGAGTTTGTAATCCTGGGCCATTTTGAGGGAATTGGTGGAGAAAGGTGCACGTAGGGATGATACTCGTAAGGAGGGATGGATGGTGAGAGAGGAGGGGCTTAATTTATCAGCGAAGGATAAAGTAGTGAAAGATCTAGAAGAAGCCGAAGTGGGGTGAGCACAGCAGGAGCAGCGACAGAGAGCCGAGTTGCGACAACTGCAACGACAGCAGCGGAGGGGGATGCGGGCGGATGAAGAGGGAAAATGAATCGAGGATGAGGAAGAGGAGGATGAGGGGCAGCAAGGGGACCAACGAGCTGAAGCACGAAGGAAGAAGCTCTGACGGGCAGCAGTACTAGGGAGGAGGAGGGGTCGGGGCATGAGGGGAGATAGGTAGTATTAATTGGAAGGAGACAAGCACGCAAAGGTAAACCACTACTAGTAGTAAGTAAGCAAACTAGTAAAGAATTGAAGTATTAATTGTAAGTAGACATCAATTTTATGGTGCCATGGCATTGGGGGAGCTTTATTTATCGGTTAAGTCACTCAAAAGAGAGTTAAGTAAGTTAGTTGTAGTAGTAATAAGGACCATGACATAAAAGAAGCCCGCCCTTTCCGACGGAACTGCCATGGAATCAGAACCTCAAAACACACCCGATACAACATAATACCATACCACCAGTCGCGCCTTCCTTCATCTTTTCTGTCGATGTTGAAGTCGTGCCTTCCCGGTTCGTCCATCAACCCACGTCAATGACGTCGCTGCCATGGCCCCCTCTTCTCCAATTAGCGCTCGTGTTTTGTCAGACTGATCCGGGCGAGTGGGGCCCCCATCCACCTCCCAGGTGGGGACCTCCAGGATTATGGATTCAGAACAAGTTACGGAGTACACTGTAGATACTTCCGAAAGAAAAGCATTACGACAAATGAAACTCATCATGCATTACCCTGTGGATCCTCCGGAAGGATTATACGCAGTAGGGAATCATCATATTTACAAACAGCATGTACATCCGTCCATCCACCTATACATCCATACAACTCCCGATCAAATCATTGACTGTCATCTCAACTGCTTCCATTCCTTCGTCGGCCCAGTGATTGTCGCGTCACCCGTAGGGTTCGAGGAATGTTTTTCTGTACCCATCCGGACCCTCGGGGAAGTCGATGTGAGCGTGCATAGTCTTCATCACTACCTCCCGGGGACACCGGCGGGCTCGATTGTGTCAGGTCCACCACCTCAGACAGCTGCGACGGCTCCGGATCGTCTTGGTAAGGCTGCGGCACACTCTCCGGGACAACGCTGATCGATGACAATTCCTCCACCGCTTGTGATTTCACTCGGGGAGATGGTCTCGGTACGGGAGACATCGATCCCGCTAGGGACATGAGCTCCATCGTCCCGTTTCCACCGTCCGGGTTGCTACTGCGCCGCCCCTGGCGAGACGCCTGTCGTCGCTGTCGTTCCTCCTCCGCCTTGTCGATCTCGTAGAAGGGATTGGGAACGATGGAAGGCGATCGAGGCTCTTCCTTGGCAGGCGCGGCAGATGTCTCTCTCTTGACCGCCGGGGGGAAGTATGTTTCCATCAGGCAGTTGAAAGACATCATACTCACGGGGCTACTGATCATTTGGAGATCGTCTTCTGACGCGTTGGCTGCAGAACCACCGTCATTGGCGTCATTGGGGAGAAGCATCGAGTGCAAGGTCGATGGAGGGTCCTTGATCTCGGGGGCATTCTCCGGCTGTCGACCGTTCCGGCCATTCTCGCTGTCCTGTCCTGCCGGAGGTGTAGATCTGGACACCTGGTCTTCATGGCTACTCTTCGACCCGGTTGTCAAGTCCGCGGGAGGCGACTGAAACCCGTCAAAATGCGGTGACTTGATGGGGCTAGAGTGCTCGGCCGGGCCCTCCGTGTGGTCAACGGGCTTTTGGTTCAATGACTTCTCGTCGGGGATAGTCCCTTCTCTTTCCACATTTCGCACTAATGGCTGGCGGTCCTCGTACTCGCGTGTGGCCTCGGTCTCGTTTGGACTGGGCTCCTCTGTTGCACGGGAGCTTGGTCGGGTGAGCGCAGGAACGCCAGACGAGTGTAAGGAAATTAGTGTACTGACATGCTGGATTTCCCAGCATTCCCAAGACCTGCAGTGTCAGCAGATCGGAGAAGCTTGGGTTCAATCAGGTCGGCGAATGACAACTCTCGGAAGCCGTCGTCCTCCTCTTCGTCCATCCCGGGCATTTCAAATCCACTGTATTGCGGCCTATCATTCTCCTCATCCCAGTCCTGGTCATCCCGTGACTCTCGTCGGTCACGCTTGGCTAACCGGATTTTGATGATATCGTGTTCAAAGACCTCGTGGATCTTGGCGACTCGGTATCCCGAAACCGTGGGCTGCCAGCCCGTAGTCTTGGAGATTTCCAGCTGTCGGAAAGCAATGATTGAGCCCTTCTTCAAGCTATCCACACCCATGTCCTGTAGAGCGGCTGGGTCATTGGGCAGAGCAGGAAGGTCGTCTGCCGGATCCTCAAATTGCTCCTCTACGGACTGCTCTGCAGCATGCTCCACTCCCTCCATGTCTCCATTAGGTTGCTCGGCATCATCGTAATTAAGTTGTAAATCGCCGACGGAATAGTCGCCCACGGAATAGCCGTAATCGCCATTTTCATATCCTTCGTCCCCATCGTAAACTTGAAGCTGCTGCCGCCGTCTTCTCTTCTTGCCCCAACCTTTGCGCTGCCTGATGATATCACCAGCTTCAGCGTCCCAGCGCTGCTCGAAGGGGAATGGCGGAGCGGTCAGCTCAATATCGTCATAGATACACTCGGTAGCCCGGAGGATCAACTTGTCTTGCCAGTTCTCTTCCGAATCGCTTTCAGGCGCTTGAACCGTGTCTTCTTTCGGGGACTTTGAAGGTTGAACCTGGTTGTTGACCTTGCCTGCAAGCTTTCTCCGAGTAGCTTCTTCGTCTTCTTTGGTCCGTGGGGTTCTCACTCCCAGTGAGCCAAAGAGCATCCTCCTGGAGCTGGCAACATCAAGAGTACGCCGCTTGGAAGGTGGCTCGGTTTCATCTTCACCATTGGCAACATCGGTTGCAGACTGTTTTTGGTCGATAGCCTTGACGCTCTGTGGAGAAGCAATTTCCTTTTGCTTCACCTCAGTGACATCGACTCCCCCTGATGCAAGATCACGGAGTAGCTTCTGTCGCTTTGCTTCAAATTCCGCACGTTCTTGTTCCTTAGAATCGTGTTTATCTTCAGGAATGTAGTAGGAACGTCCATTGGCCTCTTCCCAGTCACGGAGAGCAGCAAAATCAGCCTGTGCGGGCAGGGCACCAAGCTCCTTTAGTTTTGCTAACCTGCGTCGCATCTTGTTACGCTCATTGCTTTTCTTGGTTCTCAGAGAGCCCGCTCCCGGAGGATTGGTCTTCGTGCGCAACTGCACATCTACATCAGAGTCCGAAAGCTCGTCCTCCGATTCGGACGTGGACATGTCATCATCATCATCAGAGTCAGAGCTTGAATCTTCTTCTGAATCCGATGTAGAGGCTTCCGATCCGGAATCTTCATCGGAAGACGAATCACTTGCATTGCTGGAATCTTCTGAGTCGCTAAAGTCGCTGGTCTCGCTCGTATCGCTTGCGGATGAGCTATCGCTCGTATCTGAAGCCGAGCCCGTAGCATCCTCTGGGATTGAGATGACTTTGCTGGCAACGGTAGCTTTTGATTCCACAACAGACGGATTTTCTTTCTGGTCTTCAAATGTCACTGCCTTTGAATCCCTACGAGTACCGTCGGGTATAGAAGACTCTTGACTAGATGCATGGGCAAGAGAGCTCTTTCTTGGGGCCGATTGATGGATACTGGGTCTGGAGCGCAGCGGATAGCCCGCTTGCTCAACATCAATGTCTTCCGCCATAGGCATAGGGGATATTTCCAGATCTTCCTCCAGTCCCTTCAGTTCTTCTGCCAAGTCTTCGGGGTTGATGTTTAATTCGTCTGAGTCACTTTCCGAAGCTTGATCATGTGTCTCGTCAACAGCATGTCGGATGACTGTCCCATTACCATCGTCTTCGGGCTCGTGGTAATCCTCATAGTCATCCTGATAAGCGTCTGTGTATTCATCGCCCCTCTTCTCCTGCGGCTGCTCATTCGACTTGACCACAGGAAGCTCTCTTGCAAAGCCCACTTGATTATTCGGCGCCCATTCGGTATCTTCCTCCTCGTAGCGTGATCCATAGTCCCAGCCCGCAGCGCTAGTGCGTCGTTTCTTTCTCGGAGGGATCGTAATCGCGGGCCTTGACGACGTAGGTCTTTTCAGGAATGGCTTTCCAAAAGGGACTCCATCAATGAGGTGTTTGCCGTCGGACGATATTTGATGGCGACCAGAAAGCCGTCTGGCTCGAAGGTCTGAGATCTGGAGGGCGCGGATCCTGCCAGAAGAAGAAATGGATGAGTTTCAATCCAAGGGCAAATTTGCCAGAGCCAGGACAATGGCAACCGGCATGGGGACAACCACTTACAAGATTTCATCACCGTCCCGCAACAAGCCTTCCACTTCCATAAAGTGCAAGCACTCCGAGCCACCAACCTCAACTACATAATCCTCGAGACCCCACTGTCCACTGCACTCGGTATCAAACAAAGCCGGTTCCGTCTCAAGCGGGATAACCTCATTCACATCTTCCAGGAGCTGCGCGATTGTGTACCCGCCATTGGAAAACAGCGCATTAGGTGCACGCGTCGAAGCCAGCGCAGAAGATGCGGCAGGAAGCATGGATGAAGCACTGGGCGCATTGTGGCCGAAAAGAGACGGCGGTGACGTTGTCCAAAGAATGCGCGTGACGGGCAGGCCGTGGCGCTGGATGATAAGATGGAGACGCATGGTGGATGGAATGTTTAGAGATTTTGTTTCAAGCTCCTCTTCTGTTGCTTCGGACCAGTCGCACTAGCAACGGCTCATTAAAATTAATTAGTATGATGGCGAAAAGCAAAACAAAATCATGCAGCAAACCGTCGCGTTAATGCTTAACAACGGCGAGATGCTTTCCGACTTGCTTGTCGCGTCGGAGTATGAGTACAAGTATGGGAAAACCGCACGAAGGGGTTGTAGCTCGAAGCAAGATCACAACAAGGACATCTTGAGCGCTAGAAACACAGCAAAGATCTAATAAATCGAAGAGTGGAAAGCTAGAAAAGTGACGGGAGGAAACTGCAGGTGTGACGGCGACCAGCTGCGCGGATGTTGGGCCGGGCTAAGCCTGTTCGGTCGTTACACCTAAGGCATCAACCGAATTCACTACGGTCACACTATAGCTTGCTTTGCATGACAGTTCCATTATAATACTCCTATTAAATTATTTTTATTGAATAGAATGACAATGTGAGTGATTAAAATGATTCGGGTCGCCTGTATAGTAACTGAAAATGCATAGGTGGTATCGAAGAGCAAAGTAATGTCAATGGAACTTTCATCGAGGTTTCCTGTTAACTCCGGAAAGATGCGTGCAACGACACGGATGATTTGACATTGTACTGAGATTGGTACAATATCCCAGTGCTATTCCATTAGATGCATCCAGCTGCAACATAGGAAGCTCATTATTATGCAAACTTCAGGTTTGCCTACTTGGACTCCTGGGAACTGGCTTCCGGTTGGGAACGCCCAGGTTCATGGGCCTGACCCCAGGCTGGGACGGTACACGATTTACCTGGCTATGGGATGCTTGCGGCTTGCCAGGTGCAATTGTCTGATATTCGGGAGGGTTATCCTCCTCCAGGAGAAGGGGAGCCTTGTGGATTTTGAGCACGCTTTGTTGACGCGCAACGGGAGAGTTTGGGGGTGAACCAGAACGGGACTCTGGTGGGCTTTCGGGTAGCATATCGAGTGTCTCCGACGAGGACATCGCCTCCTGGTTGCCGTACGGTGTGGACGCCTCAGGTTCCTTTCCAACTGGAGATCGCGGATCAGCTCCAGGTTCAACAGATCTTTCGGAAGAGGCATCTGGTGGGTTATACTCTCGACGGGGGCCATCCACAGGACTAAGAGTTTCAGCCATGGCATCTTCGTAGCTGGGAGGTGCATCGTCGTAGCCGTCCTCAGGATTGGCAGGCACAGGAGGTCTGGCAGGCCGAGGCGGCATTGGGGGGCGTGGGCTATCCATCGATCCGGTGGGACTTGTAGGGCTAGCCACTGGCCTGGCCTGACCGTTGGCCGCCATGGCATCCAGAAGTGCTTTCGGAGGAGCGATGCCGGAGTAAACTTTCACGGGCATCCGTAGCGGAAGAACGATAAGTTGGGGCTATTGGTTATGAGCAGAATATCTCGAAATGTACAGCTGACGACTTACCTTCATGTTCCCAATACTTCCATGGGTCAGGCCCACTCGAACTTCGAGCTCATACGTCCGCGAGACATTGCAGGTCTCGAATGACGGCGCTACCGTACTGGGTAGAGGTATGCCACTCCATAAACTAGAATCAATCGTCCACTCCGTATCCGCTGGGTCTCCACCTCTGCCGAGAGGCACGGCCATATTACTCTGACTGAGAATGACCCAAGTGCCGCTTTCGGTGCGCCGTAAGTCATGAGCGACGATGTTGGTATAAGAAATCAGCTCGACCTGGATCATCTGCAGGAAAATAGTCTCATAAGACTCCGATAGTTTCTTGACGAGGACACGCATCGGTATAGGCTCATTGCAGGTCAGAATTGATGGGTTGGGTAGCCGCAGGTCAGCGGATACGCGAGGGGAACCGCCTGCGGTGTCCCGGAGCGAACTGCTCGACATCTTCTGGAAAAGGCTTCTTTTCTTGGACACATTCGGGGCATCCGTAAATTGGTGTTGTCGTCTTGCATAAGTTTCTTCGTTCGGTTTTCCTGTCCTGGGAGGCTCGATGGGAAGGAACTTTAGGTTGGTGATCTAGAAGCCAATTATCAGCATTGGAATGCTGCAGATTATCCTCTTCTCGCAGCAATCGCTCATTAAACCAACATACCGCCCTGAGATTTTCCTTATAGAACTGGGGACGAATAACCGTCGCTTTCACATAGTACTTGATGTCGGCCATGCCCGGGAAGCCACTGAGAGATGGAGGGAGTGTCTTCTTCACATGGCGAGTGGTGTCCCTGGCCATTTCGACCCTCAGACCCGTGATATTCAGGTTCGTAAGCATGCTATTGTGTATGCTGCAAGAATTGTTGAATGGGAACTGCACAGCCACTATAAGTTCTGTATGTCACAGGTATTACCATGCACAGTATACTGACCTTGAATTTGAAGGGGTACTCGTACGTCCCTCTTGCGAATGTATAAGCTCTGTCTGGAGTCTCTGCATTGAATACTGCGGCAGTGGGGAAAACCGTTTCGACTTTGTACAGGATCTACAACAGCTGAAGATCAGTATCGCTTGCATTGAAGTCCATCACAACAATTTCTTTCGCGCCTCGGATGGAAGAGGAAGAGGAAGAGGAAGTTGGAGGGGAATGGCTCAGGATTCGCACCTTGTGAACCTCGATTTCGGTACGCTTCTTATCCGACTGCTCATTATGTGGATTTTTCGGACCTGCCAGGCGCGTCCGACTTTCGCCTTCTAATTTTACTTGAATGCCTCCGATTGCAGCTTCAGAGTGTAATTGTAGAATCACCTTTCCCGTGAGATAGTCGAGATTGGTGAAATGCTTATGTGGCCGGTCCAGGTGGATGATTACAGACATGACGACCACAAGTTGGTGAACCGTGTGGCGGTTGAAGCGGGCCGGCAAGCGTGCACAGGCTCGATGTCAGGGACCGAACCAGTCAGTCAGTCTGTGCTGGAGTAGACGACGTACGATGCACTGGGAGAAATATGAGGGAGAATATCTACTGAGAGCGGATATGGAACTCCAAGCAAACAAATGAAACAGAAACCAGTGCACAGCGGACGGGGAAAGCTGGGAGAAGAAAAACGAAGACGGGAGTTCGGAAGTGACTTTCTGACTTAGATTATTACAAGCTGGGAAAATGACGTTTGAATCCAGGGGACGTAAAAGCGCAAGGCGTGGGGCAACCCGAGAAACTGTACGTACGGTCTCGGCGCGTTCGGAACTTTTCCCTCTCGAACAAAAAACAATACGGAGTAGACCTTTCCTGATGAATGAATACTATCCTAGAGTCTTGACTGCTGATTGATCTGAGCGAGCAATCGGTGGGGTTCATTGCCCGGATTTTGTTTAATCATACGGTGGGTGCGACCCATTCTGGGCCTTTCAGTCTGACAGTGTCTGACGGGGGAGAGAGCCAGACTGAATGGCGATCCTCTCGCAGGGCTGGTTTTTGCTGGCCTCCGATTCGCGTCACAGCCGGGGTTCTGCTCAGCCACCCCGAACAAAACTCTATGGTGTTATGGGTATCCCCTCCCGTTGCACCGCCACGTCACGGACGCTAGCAAAGCCATGGCAATAGGTATCAAAGATCTGATGGTATGAATTAATTGGGTATCGCCAAGTGATCTATACTTCAAATTACAAGTACACTTCTAGGCACCAAGATTTCCAATTTGACTGCAGTGGGGTGGGTCGTCAGAGTCCTTCCTTAGCGAGCATGTCTAGATTCATTAGCCATGGTTATCAACCGATGCGCTGCCGAGACAATTTCGCGCCTTACCTGCAATATCAAGGTAGAATGCAATGGCATTGAACCTATACGACACAAAAAAACAGCCAATGTCAGCAGGGGCGCTCGCATGTCCAATGAATTGCGTTCAGAAGTCTATTGGCGAACCTCTGTCTGTTGCCTGTAATTTCTCCGGCTAGCCACTTGAGTCGATTGCTCCAGTTGATCAAGTCCAAGTGGCTGACGCCCTCCAGGGTGCCCTTGTATGCTCCCCACTTGCTGCTGGCAACGCTGACAAGTCCATCATTGTACCCTTCTATTTGTTCCAGAAGACGGTGGGATAGACGGAAGACGGACCAGAAACTTGGCTGCATTGCCGCCCCGTACGAAAAGTATCTGCATAACTCAGCCATACTGATGACGGCACCATCTTCAGCCAGTGGGGACCTACCGAACGTCTTTAATGTCTGGCGTTGCGGGGTTGAAGGTGTTCGTCATATAGTCACGAGTTAGTTGGGCGAACGCGCCCGTTTCTACCTTTAGCCGGTCTAGAGCATAGTACAGCTGGGCAAGGCGGTCATCTGAGGCCATGTTAGATAGTATTTATAGAACCGACGTGCATACTAACCGCCAATCTGCTTGAGGGCGAAGTCTGCAACAGCAGAGCCTAGAAACGTTGAGTACATGTTCTGCCTATCTTGAGACGTCACATACCTCTATGGGGAGTCGCAATCGTGGTCAACGATTTTACTTTGAAATCAGTCGGCTTCAAATGAGTGATCATGTATCGAGAGTCAAGCCCGCTTGAGCACTGGTTAATAACCGCGATTGAAGGGTAGACTTTCCTGGCTCTTACCCCTAAGGGAAGTGTCAACAACAGCTCCCGTAATGGCAGGTAGATGTTGCACTTACCATGCTATGACTATTCCAGGTCAGACAAGCCAACATCATATCTTCTGGGGTAAGAACTTACGCAATAATATTTACTTGTTCTCCGGGTGCACTGGCGGCGATATCTCTCGCTAATTCTTCAGCACGCATTTCGATGGATGCAGAGGGAGGCACTGTGGCAGTGATGACCCGAACCCCTTGCATCGATAAAGCTTCCTTAATACCACGCCAATATTGAACTCCAGGAAGATAACGTCCAGCAAGACGCAGCTCAGCGAATCCAAGCAGGCCATGCGCGAGAACAACTGCATGTTTTGGGGCATCTGTTAACGGAGTATCAGTAGCTCGATACCGATGATAAAGTCTTTGCATGGCCCATGCTTACTGTAGTTCTCCCTGATTATCGCATACTCGTCTCTGATAACGTTTCCCAGGTCTTCCAGGCGTGGATCGAGAGCGTCGGGGCTGCTGGGATGTTGTGGGCTGTGCCTACGCGCAGAGGAATGAAGACACCTCAGGGCTGGATAGCGGGCACAGAGATAATTAAATTTGAGGCTTCTTACGCCGTTGGACACGGCAACAGCATGTCTCATCTTATGATTTCTCCCACTAATTGTGTGATGCTGAAGAGGGGCTTGAGAGCAATGTATACATTTGGGGCAGCCTGGTGTTCCTGATGACGCAACAGTTACTGGGCACTTCATGCCTTAGGCCGCAACACCATGGCACTGACAACGTCTACTGTATCCACAGCTTGTAACTGGCAATAAAGACATGCATGCGATCAACGAGCTAGCCTATCTCTTCTAGTTTACTATCATTGGTGTACATAAGCGCTACACTAGTATGCTGGGTTGTGCTTCAAGGGCCTTATAGGTTGACTTGCAACAACCTTATAACAGCATCGAGAAATCAAGACAACTTCAAGGTGACTCTTACCGGCTTCAGACAGGATACAATATAATTTATGTAATGCTCAAACAGCGGGCCAGAACTATATTCACAGGCTGAAAGCAAATGACAAACAAGAACCCCTCATGCTGCCGCAATGACAATCGGCATCACTTCTTTATGCCTTGATCACGATCTTCTCAGACGGCTCGGGCTTCACATCGACCAGCGCATGGATAAGAGTCTCGATAACCTTTCCACCTCTCTCGTTGCCAGCATCCTTGATTTCCTGGAGCTTCACCTCAGCCTCCTTGTTCGCATCCTCCTCGGCCTTCTTGTATCCGCTCGAGTGCTAGAAACAGTATTGTCAACCCTCACATTCGTCCTGATGTCGCATCTCCCAACTTCAACCCTGCAGGACAGATAGTCATTCATACCTCAGCCTCGAACTTCTTGAACTCCTCCTCCTTTTGCTTTCTGTACTCCTCAATCTCCTTCTGTGCTTCGGACTTTGCCTCTCTTATGCGCTTCGTGCGGTCTACAAGAACATTAATCGGGATGCTGTGGTTATCGGGTGTCTGATGACATACATTCTCTGGCTGAATAATGCGACACGTCAGCACTGATTTATGGTCCGGTATTCTTCCAAAGACAGTGTAAACTAACCTTGTTGGACGATCTTCTGAGCCTCCCTCTCGGCCTGAAATAGATATGGTCAACCACTATACCCCACCCAGTTCAATCAAATGCGACCTACATCGAGGAGGGTCTGAATGCCTGCGGAGTTCTGAGCGGACTATCCGAAAGAGTCAGTATGGCAATTTCCCAAGTCGAGCGACACATTCTCCTCACCATCTTTGCAATATTATTTCTCAGAAAAGGCGCTTATGAGAACGAAAGAGTCGGAGAATATAGGAGTATACAGAGGTGGAGTCGTGAGCTTGTGATGCGCCGTTCGATCTCCCCGACGCCACGAATGACCCCTTAGGCGGTCGGGATTCTGCCACCAGACACCGCCATCACTGATATCACCGATAATCCGATGCAGATTTGGACATGATGCCACTCGCGCATTCAACCGTTCATTCATTTACTGCTTCTTTTAAATAGTCGCGCAATTCACAAATTGCATACAAGGCAATATGTCTCGTGCTTCCAAATTGACATTGGCCGCAACTGGTCTCGGTACGGCGGGGATCATCTACTTTGTTCACTGGGCACAGGAACAAGAGAAAATTGTAGGTCACCGGTACTTTATGGCCAGGACAATTGCAGTGACTAATGCTTGATTCGTATCTAGGGGATGCACAAGGCGGTTGAGCTAGACATGGAGAAACAGCGTATCCGCAGGGAGCGACAGGCCGAGTTCGAGATGCAAAGGGCGTTGGAAGAAGAGTACCGGAAACTACAGAAGGTCTCGCCCAGCGTTGACGATCCAAGCGGAGGGAAGTCGAATCAAGGACAAACATCATGATACACGCCCGAGCGGTTCTTTACGATTCATAGACTTTGTCTGGTATGTTCATTCCCTTGGTGTTCAGAGGTGTACCCTTCTTAACGAGAGAGCAGGTATAGATGTCCCACTTGGCATGTGATGGCTGTATGCTTGTAGAATATACCCAAAATGTACATTAGAGATCAATATCCATACCCACCTCTGTATACTATTGATTCAGTCTGTCTCTAGACCACATGCTTCGCTAAGGGATTGGCTGTTCAGCGCCACACCTGCTGAAAGAAGGCAATGCGAAGGCTATATGGCAGCGGTATAAGAAGCACCGCTACGCATGAACATATATTTATTCCGTATTGCTTTAGTAGAAATATATGTCAGTCTCAGACACGCTGATATCTAGCATTTCTGTAACATCCTTATCAGCCAAGAACGGCACGGTGACACGTGCCGGCGGACTCCGAGATAGGAGCGATCGCTGACCGACATAAAAGAAGGCCGGCTATCATCGGAGGCCGGCCCAATTCCGGCCTCATGCAACTAGGAAAGCCTATTCGGCCGCGATCCAAGGATGTTGGCCAATCATGCTGGGGGCCATGTGACATAAAGCCTTGGCATTTGGTGAAGTATAAAGCAGTCCATAAAGTAGAAGGCAACGCTTTGGGGCAGTTATGGCTGCGTTAGAAGTATTTTCGAGAGTAGTAAAAGGTCTATCCTATTATCAGGAGCCTGTAAATATATACCAGACCATTTATGGTCGCCACCAGGTGGCTAGACCTCGGAACGAGCACAGGGTGCAGCTGCTATACCCTGCTCAATCGGGAATAGCGCGTCCCCGTGATTCTGGCGTGCCCTTATTTGCCAAGAGTTTGTATAGAGTCGATGGGCGTGCATCTGATGGCCAGACATGCCTGTAAGGGGTGTTGTTTCTGCGTAGAATCATCGCAGAACCCCAATATATCACGTAGGATGGTTCATAATCTATGATGCTACCTTATCGCGAACGAATCTGAGGTCCCCACGCAGTTTTCCTGCCTCTTTCGTAATGGTGCCTTTGAGGCCGGAATTGATACCGGCCTCTGAGTATTATAAGAATCGCCTGCTTTCCCGCCCAATTCTGACTCCCAAGCTCTCCTTCCCAGATCCTCCAGTATCCACAAACATTCGCAGTGGGAAACTTCCCGTTTTTCTTATCTTCTTCTTTCTTTGACTTTGGGTCTCTACCAACCCTATACTCTCTCATCGTCATCACGTCATCATCCATTTGCCTTACATCTCGGATAGACTTCTATACTACATTACCTCCACACCATGTCTCCCTCTAGAGTCCCCTTGCCCAACAGCACTGTGGATCGCTTCCCTCACATTCATGATGACCCTTCCACTGTGCCCCGGTCCTTGGACCCCTTCACTATCACCACCTCCACTGGCTTCCTCCCTTACCTCACTGCCCCTACCAAGCTGCCTGATGTCTTCCAACCCCTGATGTCCCTGCTTGAGCGGATGCCAGTACTCAAGGAAGATGGCTCTCCAGGTCTGCTTGCCAAGTATGAGCTGGGCCCTGCTGTCCTGGCTGAGCTGCCTGACTTGACGGATGAGATCGACAAGCAGGTCACCCCTGAGGGGTTGCCGGACCTGTACATGATTGCTGCTCTGTTCCGGGACTATTCGTTCCTCGCTTCGGCTTATATCCTTGAGCCATGCTGGGAGAACTGGTGCAAAGACCCTGAGAGTGGCTATGGGCTGGGGCGGGACCTGTTGCCCAAGACTGTAGCTCGTCCCATGTACCGTTGTGCTCAGCTGTATGTCTACCCTACATGACTTATAGTATCTTGACCCAATATACTAATATGATACAGCTTGGACATTCCTCCCTTCTTGTCCTATGCAGCTGCATATTCCCTCTTCAACTACACCTTGGCCGAGCCATCCAAGGGCCTGGTCTACCCTAACCTTAGATTGGTCCGCGCCTTTGAGAACGGCCTCGACCCCAAGAGCTCCGAGGCAGGGTTCATCCTGACCCATGTGGACATGGTCAAGTACTCGAGCGGCCTGATCAGCGGAGCTGTCAAAGTTGTCGACACCGTTGAGCAGGGCGGGCCCCGCTCGGTAGTCAACGACGGGTTCCGAGAGATCCTGGAGTCGATGGAAAAGATCGAAGCAGCCATGGAGGGTATGCATATGCTTCCTACTTGTATCAGTACACTCCAGCTAACGATTACAGACATGTGGGCCAACTCCAAGCCCCAGGACTACCTCTCCTTCCGCGTCTTCATCTTCGGAATCACTTCTCAGTCCATGTTCCCCAACGGCGTCGTCTACGACGGGGTACTCGACAACAAGCCTCTTTTCTTCCGCGGAGAGAGTGGTGCAAACGACAGCATGGTATGTATCCATTCTTATGCCCTAAGACAAACTGCCCAAGCTAAATTTCTACACAGATCCCACTGCTCGACCACCTTTGCCAGATCCCCATGCCCTCCAACCCGCTCACAAAAGTGCTGCATGAATTCCGCGCCTACCGTCCGCTTCCCCACCGCGAGTTCCTCGCGCACATCAACTCCAAGTCGGAAGAGGTCGGGGTGCGCAACTTTGCGCTGGCAGATACCGAGACGGCTATTCTTCTCTTGAAAACTCTTAACCACGTGCGCAGCTTCCGCTGGCGACACTGGCTGTTTGCCCGCGAGTACATCATTCGCCGCACGCCACACCCTACTGCTACTGGCGGAAGCCCTATTGTTACGGTATGTCTATGCATGTCTTTTGGAGGCAGATGTATTAACAGAGTGACTAACACATTACAGTGGCTCCCCAACCAGCTGTCTGCTGTGATGGACTTGATGATTTCGGTCTACGACACGTATCTGGCGCCGCAGAAGGGGGATGGCCTTGGACCGGACGGACAGAAGGGCTACGATGCTTATGCGAAGCAGGTTGAGCCGATGATGGAGATGGTGCGCGACCAGCGGGAGAAGTTGGCGAAGGAGGTAGAGAAATGGTGTCAGGAGAGGGGTGTATAGATAGATGCCTATGGAGTGTTATGATACCTGCCACATATGTGAGCAACATTTATAGTTTACTACATTTTTACACAATCCAAATTATCTTGACATACATCATCCCAAACAAATAAGTTGAAGACCCCGAGATTAATAAAGTAGCCACCAACCACGTGCTGTTGATCCCCACAACTCGGACATTCCACATTCGGCTGTTCCAATCAACCCAACCCAACTTAATCAACGGACCTCGGCATTTCTCCGCATTCTCTCCTTTATATCAACTTCTTCTCCGCACTCACCACCACCTTCACACTTAGAACCACAACCACCACACAACCCAACCCAACCCACACACCACAATGCCACCACCTAGCCCCCCCGAACACTTCCACGGCTACGTTTCCAACTCCCCCACCACACCCCTAACCTACGCCACGTACACCCCGAAACCCTTCACTCCCACGGACATCGAAATCAGCATAACCCACTGCGGCATCTGCGGCACCGACCTCCACACGCTCCGCTCAGGCTGGGGTCCCAACACAACGACCTACCCCTGCATCGTGGGTCACGAGATCATCGGCATCGTGACACGCATCGGCTCATCCATACCCACCTACCCCAACACCACACCACTACGCATCGGCGACCGAGTCGGCATCGGCGCCCAAACCCACTCGTGCCTACAGCCCTCATGCGAGGAATGCGTCGCTGGGAAAGAGAACTACTGTCCACGCATCACGGGCACATATAACAGCCGATACTGGGACAACGAGACGGGAAAGCGAAGCGACGTGATAGCGTACGGGGGATTCGCGCGAAAATGGCGCGGGCCCGCGGCATTCGCGTTCCGGATTCCGGAGAGATTAGAGAGTGAGGTTGCGGCGCCGTTGCTGTGTGCGGGGACAACGGTGTTTGCGCCGTTGAGGAAGTATCTTGGTGATGGGGCGGATAGTGGGAAGGGGAAGACGGTAGCGGTGGTGGGGATCGGCGGACTGGGGCATTTGGGGATAATGTTTGCGAAAGCGTTGGGGTGTGAGCGGGTTATTGGGATATCGAGGAGTAATGGGAAGCGAGAGGATGCGGTGAAGGGGTTAGGGGCTGATGAGTTCATTGCAACGGGGGAGGAAAAGGGATGGGAGAAGAGGTGGAGTCGATCGGTGGATTTGATTCTTTGTACGGTGGATGGGGATGATATGCCCCTTGGGAAGTATTTGAGGTTGTTGAAGGCCGGCGGGACGTTTGTGTTGGTGGGTGCGCCGGAGAAGCCATTGCCCAGGATGAGGGCGTTTGAGTTGATTGGGAAGGGGGTTAATGTGACTGGGTCGAATATTGGGAGCCGTGAGGATATTAGGTGTATGTTGGAGGTTGCGGCGGAGAAGGGGGTCAGGCCGTGGGTGGAGACTAGGAGAATGGAGGAGGTTAATGAGACGTTGAGAGATATGGAGGCGGGGAGGGCGAGGTTTAGGTATGTGTTGGTTAATGGGGAGGAGAGGGAGAGTCGGTTGTAGTTTACTCTTGATTATAGATTTGGGGGGTTTGTATAGGGTGGGTGTGGTAATGGGGTTATAGAGGAGTGGATCTCTTGATAGACAGTGTAGTGCTTATGGATGAAAGTCTTATTCAAGGGAGAAGTCTTTCTCTGCCAGTCCTTATCAATGGATTCAAACATGTACTTAATTAGTCTTTACTTCTGACATGCTCGGTCTGATTCCGCCGTAGGATGAGGGTATCTTCCCAATCGGGAAATAGGTACGAGATATACGAGGCTGCAGATCGTGAAGCTTCAGATAGAAAATTTCTATACAAGTGGCGATGAAAGGCGAGTCGCTTTGTATGTATGATCGGGAGATAAGTTGAAGAAATGAACTATTATATTCGTCAAGCATACTGTTCTTGTCGAATTCTCTAGTGGCAGCATCCATCCACCATTCAACAAGATGTCTTCCGACTTGCATAGCGGCTGGGTGGCTTATCAGTACAACCCATCAATGCCTGCAGCGATTGTATTCGCAGCTCTCTTTATGCTGGGCACCCTCATTCATACTTATCGTCTGCTCCGAACACGGACGTGATTCCCTGTCCCTTTCGTTATCGAAGGATACTGTATGTCAATCCTTCAACGTTGGACTTGCACTAGCTGACCAATCAGTCGAGGCAATAGGATACATCGGCCGCGCGATGTCGGCATCTCAGACCCCTCTTTGGACTATCGGTCCGTACATCGTGAAGAGCACCCCTGCTGCTGGCCGCGCCGGCTCTCTTCGCTGCAAGCATATACAAAGAGCTGGGTCGGATCATAGCCTCGTTAAGGAGGGAGGGGGGGAGAGTTGACAATCATCCGGGTTGGCTGGATAATCAAGATAATCGTTGCAGGAGATGTGCTCGGCTCCTCGATGCAAGCATCAGGTGAGTGCGTTCTACGCTTGGATGGTGTTGTGTGATGTGCTAGACGGACTGCTGACGTTGTCCGTGTTGGTCGTTTTCGCAGCCATCCTTCCAAGCAAAGTAGAATGGCTCCTCGGGCGCGGGAGCATCAAGACTGAAAAGGGGGGACGGAAAGCATAGGAGTATGTCTTTGTATAGGTGGAGATGTCGTGGCCTGTAAATGTCCAGCTATTGAATGCAATGATCATTGATCAATCTCCTGCTGTCCTATTCCAGCTGTATCAGGTGTATTAGTCGGGTGTGTCTCCCCGAATATTTCCAGCATTTGACCCTCAATCAGTGGCCTCCATTCATCGTCCAAAATGTCCCATAATGCTCGGGCCACTCTGCTTCCCCGATCACCTATGTACCATGCATCCCTCAGATGATGAAATACAACGCAGTGGTATGTTAAGATAACCAAAGCTAGCGGTTTGCGCTCCCGCAAAAGTTCCATGAATTCAGGAAATTGTCTGATTGCCCATCGGCAGGAAGTCGACACAGAGGGCATACCAGTACGCGCCTCAGCCAGCATGTCTGCCAGACGGTCAAGTGCATTTTCGTAGGCAGCTGTGTCATGGGTGTCATCTTGAACCCCGCAAGCGTTGTTCACCTCATGCAACCGCTCCAAGCTTGACTGTGCATCTCTCAAGTAGTCCTCATTCAAGTCTTCCACCTTGAAGATTATGCTCCATTCATCATTTTTTATGACCGAGGTAGCTTGGTTCAGGATCTGTTGAACTCCACGCGCGAGCGTGAATATCTGAAGTAGGTCATCCACGTTTGCCCATGAATCGCTAGACTCGGGTGCGTGAGGTAAGCCAAAAGTATAATAGACCACAACACTGGCAAATGCAAACATAGCCCTTGCATTAGACGAGTTGATATCACTTAGCCTCTCGCGAAATAGGGCCAGTGCTTGAGCCTGATGTGCAACGGCAGTGCTGAGATAAATCGGACGCTGCTGGGTATCATGCTTTGTTCGTGCAATATGCAGGGAGGACAACGCGAGTAGCCCGTGCATTAGGAAAGGATGCGTAATTGCTTCCTCTGAAGCGCTAAAGCGCCAGATGTGGTCCGTGTGTTCGCCCCGAGACACACTTTTGTGCGTTGAGTTGCACCATTGCATCATCAGCTCCAGGTCTGTGATGTTCAAGCTGGGGACTGCTTGCGAGACGGCAAATGCATCACCCCATCTCCCCAGGATGCTGAGGGAGCTGGCAGTCGTAGCCGCGGGAGAGTCAGACTGGGAAACCCCTGCTGGGCTGATCTTCTTGGGCCGTATGCGAGAAGGGGGTTCTTCATTTGTCCATAGCAGTGATGCGCTAGAGTCATACTCGCAGGTTGCCAGACGTTTTGAGCAGTTTGAACAAGAGGGTCGTAATTCATCACACTGGTATCGTCAGTAAGTAAGACGGGACAAAGGGAGCATTCCACGAGATTGCGGAAATAGAAGAGTACCTTCACCCGCCTTCGCTTGCATTGCAAGCAGCCGTGGCGCGATTTGCGATGGGGTCTTCTAAGTGCCATTGAACGTGGTACAGGAGCTACTGCTGGCCATGCTAGATCCGGGGGACTTTGGACCCACGGTTAAATCCTTTCACATGAAGCCGTCGCTTAGACCCGCTATCTTGAAGAATATGGAGGGGGAAAGACAGAAAAATCAAGGCTGAAGTATTTCAATCTTTCTTTGGAGCCAAGCTCGTCTTACGTCATCAATAGGGTCCTCAGCACCAAAACTTTGTGCTTATTGATATTATGATAAAATATAAACCAATAAATTCAGAAAACTCAATTTGGTATCTCGTATCGCATAAAGGAACCGCAAAACAACCATGTCAAAGAATCCTTTCTCTTAACTACCACTGGCAGCAGCAGAGTCCCTGCGTCGCCGGGCTTTCTCGTACAAGGCTAGCACTGTGACTAGTGCCATAAGGTCGAATTCCTGCCCATAATCCACATACATGTGAAGCCTGCCTGTCTCCCTGTTCTTCCAAACAGCGTTGGTAAATACACCCACAACTTTGCCGTTCTGCTCATCAACGAGTTTGAAGTTGCGATTGCTCAAGCTGTTCGTCTTGTGGTCCTCTTTTATCCCAACCGAGTGTGTCCGGGTGCAGAGAAATGAGTGCCGTTCGGGGCCCCGGGCAGTCTGCATCGTCATCTGCCAACGATACTTGGCGTGTCGGTGGTCTTGCGCCAGCAGATCCTCGTATTTTATACCGTTGATATCGCTGGGATCGCCCAGACCGACCTTGAGATGTCTTGAAAAATGTAGGAATTTGCATACTGCCACAGTCGGGCCGTTCTCGTCGGACCCTGCATGGAAGGTAAGGTCTGGCTTCTTGGGCCTGCAGGAGGAGTTCTCCACCCGGTAGAGCTGCTTCCCTTGGGCGTTGGACACATTGTAATGGTTTCGGAACAACGTGTTATGGATCTGATAGACGTGCGAAGCGCTTTGCTCGCTTGGAAGCTTCTCGTCCACAGATCCCTCATAGTCGGAGAGTCGAGAACCGACCAAGGTTGGGTCATTGGGGACCAGAGAAGGTTCGTAAGTAGCCATTTATGTAGCAGGAGAGTAGTAGCCTGTTAGACGGTGGCTCTGAGAACTGAATCCCAGATTCATGGAATCGACGCCATTCCATGGTTCTTATATCTTGCATCCGAGCCTTGTGTCGGACAAGGCGCACTGCTGCGGCTCATGCCGATACGAGACCCTTTGACGATCATCAGGCTGTGCATCACAGCCATTCTGCTTTCTCCTTTTCTGATCCCTTCGGGCACTTGATCCATGGATAACCTCAGCCAATCATCACTGTTTATGACTTAGCGGATACGACGGGCCCGATCGGGAGTAGCGTTGATGACTCAGGCTTCTACCTCATGTGACATCATCTGACTTACGCTAGTCACGTGAATACATGAGTTATCACCTGACTTGGAATCTCACCGCCCGGCGCGCGTCTCGAACTTCGGGAGAATTAATTGTTGGCCGGCGAAAGAGTAGAATCCCAGATTCCAGATACACAGCAGCTTCGGACGGGCGTGTTGCTTCTTTCTCGCTCTGCCCGGCTGCTTGGCGACTTCTCAGCTCTTGTTCGATGTCCCGACCTCACTAAATTAATTGCGCAACTCTAATTCCTTCCTCTTACGCTGTCTATCCGCCCCGAATTGAGGTGCAGCTCTATGCTTCCTCGCTCTTCGCGTTCATCTTCCCTTTTTCATCTCCGAGCTCCTTACCAATTGATATAGCTTGTCGCAGCATGTCTTTCAAAAACTCGTTTGAGTCCAGTCCGCCGTCCACCCCCGGCCATTCCCGCAGTGTATTCAGTAATCTGTCAGAAACGCCGGCAGGCGCTCCGCCCTCCGCATCCAATTCCTTCACTCCGCAAGGCCATCCTCACTCCAGCAGCATGTTCGGCAGCTCCCAAATGAGCTCTGGCTCCCTTTTCACCAAGTCCGGGAACATCAACCCCAACGATAGTATCTTCGGCTCCTCTATCGCTTCCACCGACTTTGCCCTCCCCCGAGGCAAGAAGACCACTCAAACTAAGTCCTTTGCGAAATCGCAATCGCTGTTCAGTATTACAAACGGCAGCCGGTTTGCCGAGTCGACTAGCTTTGGAAATTCCAACGGCTTCGCGGATTCACGGATGGATGATGATGCCACCGACCAAGATGCGGAGGGTGAAGAGGAAGATCTGCCGGAGGAGCAAGCTGAACAGACCGACAACGCTATGGACTTGGGAACTACAGAAAAGGCCACAGGGTCTCGTTTCAGCTTCCTGGACTCCCAGCTTGGCGATTCTATCTCTGCGCCGCCCGCCGCGCTCGGCCAACGAAAGTCGATCTACTCAAATTCCACCACGCAAGCAAAACGCCCAAAGCTTGACGAAAAGTGGGCAAACCAGTCACCTATACGGAAAGGCAAGCTGTCGCCTAAGAAGGACTCCGCGATGCCCTCGATTGTGCGCAATTTCGCTTCGCGTTCGCGCGTGGCTGCCGTGGAAGAGCCAAGCGAGTTCATCATGCATACTGAAGATGAAGTTTGCCGCATGCACGATGAAGTGAAGAAGTCTGACTACAACAACACTGACTTTGAGGTTGCTCTGTCGGACTCTTGCGACAGACTCGTGGACACGTGGCAGGCAATCGCAAATCAGGATAGCGCTGGACAGAATCCAGGTACCGGCATCGGTCCTGGCGACAATGCTTCGAACATTGCGAAAGCAAGCTTCCTGGCATCCCTGCTGTTGCGGCTCCACCACCCTCCTCAGTTGGCACCCAAGCCTAGCCTTCTAAGCCCCCTGGGATTTCCAGCGCGCAATTTATTACTGGCCCCCGCTCGGACGAATACCCCTACGCCCATACCCAAGCTCCTTCTTGACTGGCTTGATGAGAACCATATGCCTCTTACCGATGAGCTGCAAGCATTGAAAGAGATTGATCCCAATCCTACGGCTTCTCCAAACTTTTGGGAATTGATTAATGCTGCTGTATTGCGAGGCCATCTCTCTGAGGCTGCGGACCTTTTGCGGTCGGCTGATTTTAACTATGCACGGTCCGCCTTGGAGGATGGATTGCCGCAGTCAGGCTATCGTGGCGCACAGCTGCAAAACATTCAGAGGTGCGTCAACAGGGCCCTCCAGGTCCTTGACTCATGCCCCAGCGTGCAGCACGGGGATTGGGATATTAGAGGCCCCGAGTGGGCTACGTATAGAAAACGTGTGATTGCCGCCGTGACAGATTTGGAGGAGTTCGCCGAAGGCAGTGAACAGGCGTCTCCCGAGCCTCCAGCCGCGGAGAACCGCTTCCAAGCAGTCAACTTTGGATTGAAGCCCACGGCTGCTGCCCCGATGTTCTCTTTTGCTCAGAACGCACGGATGGCCGAGAGCAAAGTCCCGTGGGCCATCTACCAGAACCTCCGGTCCATGTACCGCATTATCCTCGGCGATACGAGCGTAGTCATGGACCACGCGGAGGATTGGATTGAGGCCACGATTGCGATGACCGTGTGGTGGGATGGAGAGGATGATGAAGAGGGTTCCAGCGCCGACTTGTTTTCGAGATTGTCCAGACCCAAGGCCTCCCCCAGCAGTATACGTAACGCCTACCTCCGCCGGCTTGACCTGGCCTTTAGCCATGCAACCAGCGCCGAGCCCGCCGACGCTGGTTTCCGCGTCAACTCGATGAGCAGCCTTGAAGTCGGACTTGCTTCCGTGTTTGAAGGCAACGTGGATGGTGTGCTAGAATTGCTTCAGACTTGGTCGCTGTGTGTAGCAGCTGCCGTGGTTGAGTTCGCGTCTATTGGCGGCTGGCTAGAGGCTGGGGCTGGTCCTAAATCTATGCCAGGCCTTAGCAAAAATGACCTGATGGTTCTTTCCTATGGACAGGCTGGTGATGCACCTACGCGACGTGTTCACAAAAACGATGTGATTAGCGAGTATGCGTCTGGCTTGTCTGAGAGGACCACCTTGGAGTGCGAAACGGGCGTGCGACAGGGATGGGAGATGGCCATCGAGATCCTCAGCCGCTTGGATGACCGCGAGAAACTGGAGACGAGCGTTGCCGACCTGCTCGAAAAGATACCCCTGACCAGCGTTGAGCAGGTGGATAGAGTGGTGCAGCTGTGCTGCGAAATGGACTTGGATCAACACGGAAGGAAGGTCGCTGAGGTAGGTCGTCATTTATTGGTACTATATGAACGTCAGCTAATCTGCTCAGCGCTATGGTGATAATATCGTCGCCAACTCTCAGGAATATGGGCTTGCCCTTCTATGCTATGCTCGTGCACACGACCGACGCAAGGTCAAGTCTATCGTCGACCTGCTCATCTCATACAGTCTTGTTCAGTCCCGCGCCTTCCCTGAATCCTCCGACCTGGACGAGCAGCTTGAAGCTTTGATCAAGAACCCCAAGTTCGGCTTGGGGGCGATTGCGCATACGGATGAAGAGGCTGCTACTATTCTACAGTACTATTTCAGTGGATATGCGACTCTGCGTCGCTTCTACGAGATTCGCGACGAGGCGATCAACCTTAAGGAAGGACAGCGACCTCGGTTCAAGCCTCTAGCCAGACGGCGAGCAGCGGCCCAGGCTTTGGTGGCGGTCATTGGCAGCGCGGCGGACAGCATCTACGGTGGTCTGTACGATCCGGATCGCGATGCTGTCGTCCAAGTCGATGGACTGTTGACATTGCTTGGCGAAGCCCTGCCCTTTATTGGCCGTAAGATCCCTATCTTTAGTACCCTTCTTAAGAATCCTATTCTAACCATCCGCTCGGCAGAATCCACTCCCCTCCTCTCCGTCTCCCAACAATTCACCATTCTCTCCGCCATCGAGGACCTCCAGACCGTGACTCCGCGCGTTTACGCCCAATGCGAAGAATGCTTCCGCTCCACGCTCATCCAATACCACTCCAGCAAGCGCGCCCACACCTCCGACTCCTCTGTCCTCCCTCCCTCCCCCCGCGCCATGCTCAAGAAGTCCGTCTCATCCCTCACAGCATCAAGCACCTTCTCCCTCATCGGCAACGACATCATCGAATCCGCCCGTACTCGCTCTGGCTCCGGCTCCGTCGGCAGCTCCGGCGTCCTCGTCCCTCGCGCGGACGCTGACTCCACTACTACCTCCAACGAACGCGGCTGGGACTGGCGTGCCGGTCTACCAGAGGACGCAACGGGCGAGGATATCCTCCGTATTCTCCGTGTTGGTCTAGCGAAGGGATTGAGCCATGGGGCTCTTGGATCGATTTAGATCTTCTTTTGCTGATGATGATGAAGAGGAATTAAGTCAAGAAGCAAAAGTCAAATTTTAATACATCGGATGTAGTTGAGTGGAGTGAAGTGGAGTGGAGTGGAATGGAGTAGTTGTGCTGTATTATTGTATTCTATACTACTATGTTCCTTCTGCTTGCAGCATGCATGAGTATAACACTTTTCCTCTTCCAGTGTTGGTTGGTTGGTTGGTTGGTTGATTGGTCAGTTGCTCTTCTAGAGACCAATTAAGAGTTTGAGATTAAGTTCTCTCCCTTACCTTCCTTATCTCTTCCTCTTCCTCTTCCGATCTTGATCTGGTTCAGAGTAGTAGTAGTAGTATAATAGTATAAGGCAGCTTAGCTACACTGCACACACAAAGCAGTAGGAGAGTAAAGCACCCTGCACAACAGTTATAACTAATGATAACCAAGAAAAGTAAAAAGCAATAGCTACAACCCCATAAATCAGACATATACTAAGCCATCCATGAATAATCCTACTAGTAAAAGATTTATACATTCTTTCTATCTATTCCTTCACCGACGGTGCGATGATATGCATGCATGCATGCATTGCACACCTAGTATAATGCAAACACACATTCACATTCACTTCATTACTTAACTACTACTACCTGCTTTGCATCGATAACACACATGCATTGCATAGTTACTTTCCAATCCAATCCAATCCAATCCAATCCTATTATCCAATCCATAGAGAAAAATTAATCTAGTACATTCGAATAACAACACATTATTTTATAAGTTTTAGTTACTTAACTTAGTCCGTAAGTAGAATCAGTATCAAATCAATATCAAGTCCAGACGAGGGCATTTATTATCGGTATAGAATTATGTTATGATTCATGGGACTACATGTCAGTGGTGGTGGTGGTTACCAATTACTACGTAGTATGCGTAACGCTTGGTGATTGCTGGTAGGGGAGATATATATGGTTTTGGCAATCATGCTGTTTTTGGAAAAGTGTTGTTGGTTGTTTACCGCTGTGGATACAGGTGAATGAGTCGTAGTAGGTAGATACCTGTAGGGACTATTAAGCCTCCTACTTACATGTTGAGGATGGTTCTATGAATAGATAGACTGTGAAGAGTTTGTAGGTTACGTGAAAATTAAGCTATCCGCTTGGTCACCGCAATTTTGATTCCCACTGGGATCTGTAGTGCGAATGGACAAGTCATTCAGCATGGCTTAACTTTAACCCTCGTCTAACGGGAGAATCTTCCTATTGGTAGATCATATTCCATACTCAAGTACATAGCCATATTACTGCAAGAAAGTAGATGATTAATGATAACGAATGTAGGTAGGCCAGCTAGATAATGCATAGATAGATGTTGGTATCCCCCAACTGGCGTATCCCGGATACGACCCCCATTTTTCTCAATCAAATCCTCCTCTATTACCATAGTTTAACAAGATAAAACTCTCCACCCAGTCAATCGTCGCACGTTTCTCGTCTCATCGTGACTGGGGATTCTGCGATGCAACACAACGCAACGCTATGCAGAATAGGCTGACTGAACACGCGCACACACGGCATTATAAAGAAAAACGGTGACGAGAGCGCAGCCCTACAGCGTTGACAATAACAAAAGCATATATCTAGCAAAAGGTTTTGGCGAACCGGCCAGGCCAAAATCGAATCGAACTGAGCATGCATCAAACAGGAATGAAATCGAACGGCGGTTGAGGCAGACGTCCCGCGACTGCTGCCTCTTGCTATCCCAGAGTGGATGGGTTTAACCCTTGATGCTGGAGTATCCTGAATCCGGCAGGGTTGGGTCTCGAGCGTTGTTTCCGTTGCATCTCAATGAATGTCGGGAACAGGTGTAGCCGACCAGGACGGTTTTCTCCTGCACCACATGGCCACGCTGGCCGTATGCTTCACACGGGTCTACCGCGTGCTGAAAGTAAAGACATCTGCACACCGAAAATCGCTCCACTAGTAGATAACACATGATGAGGTGGTGGTCGTGGTAGTGGTAGTGGTAGTGGTCGACCGATGAGATGGAATTGGTGGTAGATGAAAAGAAAGAAAAAAGACACAAATTGAAAAGATCAAACGTCCCGCGTGGTAATGAGACAGGTCTGAGAGTGGTGGTCAAGGAATGACTGAAGGGTCGAGGCGTAAAGTGGTGAGTGCGATGGAGGTGGGGAGTGGATCGCGGATGGAATCAATTATAAAAACACCGACCATTCAGGCGACCCAGGACCATGATAGAAACCAAGTTCCAAGTGACGACAATACCAAGGATCTAGAACTGGCGAGCTTGTCATTCTAAGGCGCCTTGATGCTGAATGCGACTGCAGACGGTCGATGCAAGGCATCCATAAAAGAAACCCAAAGGAACCCTTAATTCTATGCTCGGGAACAATCTGGAAGAACTCGGTCCATCACGAACAGGACTAGCGACCAGGAAGAGTAAAGAGGGAGAAAGGGGAAAGGGGGAAAGAAGGAAGGAGAGAGAGCGAGAGCGAGAGCGAGACGGAAAGGGCCACCAAGAAAGCAAAAATGTAGACAATCAAGGAAGAGGAGAGAATGGAGGGGAAAAAGAAAAGAGGGAATAGGAAAAAAGAGGGAAATGAGGAGGACCCATCCTGCCGGGCAAACGTCAACCCATAGCAGATTGGTCTATTTCGGATTTCGCAATACTCGTAGGGCAAACCGGAGTCGATCAGTGGGGGACGCTTGTCGGGCTGAAGGCCGAGTAGTGCAGAACTAGGCCACGCCCATCCATGACAGCTGATTCCGACGCTTTCCCTGCTTTTCTGAGGGGTTGCCGGGCACCGTTTACCCACTAGAAAGGCGCCGTTAAAGGCTCCCCGGGACCCCTGAAAGGCATGGGAGTCAGAGGATGCAGACTTGCAGAAGAGCAGTCAGGTGGACATTATTGGTGAGCTGGACCTCGTGTAGAGAATGTAGCAGAGAAGGGGAGGAGGGGGAAGCGAATCCAGCTGGGGGTCCGCTATAGAGGATTCGCTATTGGAAATTGCTTCTCCGTGCCGTGGGCCGCTGGAGCGAGTTCAGTGTCGGTGCGGTTCTCCGGGGAGGACCTTGGGAGCCGTAAGGCTGCAGCGGGAACCCGGTTGGTGATTTGAGGGAAATTCCTTAGCCAGGAAATTAGCCCAGCATAGCGTGGATGAACGTGGTTAGTTGTCCGAGATGGAAGAGGGGATTGGAGGAAGGCTGAGGCTGAGAAGCAACGGGGACGGAGTGGCCGGTTTGGATGAACCACTCAAAGCCAGGATGGACTGGCCCCTGGCACCGTAGGGCTGAAACTGGGATGAGCTGGACAGACGCCCGGACGGAGGAGAAGCGAGTCAACCGCGGACGATGGAGGGGGGAAAAGTGGGCATCTTGTTCGTTGCTGGGGCCCGAGCACAGTTGCGATGGTTGACTGGTTGACTCGTTGCCTCAAAATAGTAATCCCCGTGACTTGACCAGATTAGGAAAATAGGGCTTAACCAAAAGATCCACCTCTTGTGGAGGCCTGAGTCAGACGCGTCAGGCAACCATCCAGTCAATTAATTCCCCTTCGACTTCCCAGTCAAGAAAGTGATCAAACTTCTACTTCTTCTTCGATGGATCCAAGGTTTGTCATGTTCGGAATGTCGGAAATTTCGGAATACTTCCAATGAAAAGGCAGCTGTTAGAAGATCATGACAAATGAAGTGATGGAATTTATCCACGTCTACACTCAAGCTTTTACTGTAAGCTCATGAAAACTTGATATGACTATCCACATCAATTTACTCAAGGCCGACGACCACGTGTATAGAATTAGACTTAGACTAAAAGATGACTAGACTGCTCTTACTGCTATCTATATCCTGAAACCAGCTGAAGAACCATACTAGCGAGTAGCGAAAGGATTTAAAATGCTTGCCTAAGATTGGCATCAGCCTAGAGTGTCTGGATCCCGCGGACACCGGTCATCACATAAATGCATACGTTGCAGCCTAGCTGATAAGAAAGTACCGTGCATTGGTAGAAATCCAACTACTATCTACGGAGTAAGCTCTGCAACAAACTCGGACAATCCCCGAACTTGTCCAAATACCAAATCGGCTAAAAGACTTAACTGAAAAAGAACTGCTGGTCTCGATTCTTACTCTTATCGAGAATCTATATGAACCCACCCCTATAAATTATCATAACAAACCCATCAACCCCAACCACTAACTGCGTGAAATAACCCTCTCCAAAAACTCAAACCCCTGCCTCTGCAACTCCCACGTCCTCCCTCCAACCTGCATTCCCATCGCAAACGTATGATCCTCCCCCGGCACCTCCACCATCCCACACTCGACCCCATTCTCCCTTAACACCCTCCACAGCTCCCGACTAACCTCAATACTAACCTTCGTATCACAATCCCCATGCACAATAAACGTCGGCGGAAACCCCTTGCCCACATGCACCACCGGATCGATCTCCCTCACATCCCTATCAGGATAACAAGCCTGCAAGACCGTCCCATTAGCCACCTGCGTCAGAGCGAAGGCATCCCGGGGGCGGGAGAAATCCGGGCCCTTGGCCTTGCTACCGCCAGCAAGCTCTGTCTGGCCCTCCAGCGAGATAGAACTGTCCGTAGGGACGGGATATTCATCATAGATCTTCTGCAAGAATGCAGGGTCGAGTGGGGGCAGGGTGCGTTGGACGTCTGGGAGAGGTTGGGTCCAGAAAGGGTGGGTAAAGTGCACGGCGCCGTAGAAGTCGAGGATTGCGGCTACGGGACGGGGGACGGAGTAGCCCTGATATAGATTATTAGCATCTCTGGATGTGCGTATAGTAGGGTGAGGGAAGGAAAAAAACTTACCAATGACAATGCTAATGTACCTCCCGACGACGTCCCAAACGCCATAACCCGATCCATATCGACCCGATACAGCGCTGCATCTGCACCTGCACCAGCAAGGAACGCATCTAACTGCCCGTCGTAGATCCACGCCAACAGGTCCCGGATATCAGTGATGGGCCCCTCGAGCATATTTACCTGCGGACAGAGGCGATGGTTGGGTACCACGACGATCCAGTTCCGGGCGAGGCAGTCGTCGACTTGAGGCATGGAGACCATGCGCGAGTGACCGAGCATGAAGACACCGCCGTGGATGTTGATTACTGTGAAATTCTTTAGTAACTTGATATATATTGTAGTGGAGGGATTAGACGTACAAACGGGATAGTTCTTTGGTGTGTCATTTTCACTGGTAGTTGTGGTAGGTGTCGGTGGGAGGTAGATGTCGGTGGTGATTTTACTACCGTTGGCTTCTTTGTATTGCACGGTGAGCGGAGGCGGGGGCATGGTGGCGTTATTTATTGTTTGTTGATTTAGATTGGAATGGTTTACTTGTTGTATCAGAGAAGAGATGTAGCTAGAGGGCTGCCCCAGATTTTAAAGTAGGTCTCGGTGCTCGGGATATCCGATTGCGGGGGAAAGCTTGGACTTTCCGACGGAGTTCATCCACGAGGTGAATTTCTCTCCCGGCTATTATTGCCGAGCATCTCACTTTAATACTAGTGTATAGCTAATATAGGAAAGAGCTTAGTGGTTTTGCATCGGCTACAGGCTAGGGATAGGCAAGTCATCACTCATCATTCGTTTCCTATGTGAACAACGTAGCTAACATGACCTCGACGTCGCTCATTTCATTTCATCTTCCATCCACCTGGCTATACCATCAGTGCCTTGTATAGAGTGGTCCTTGTCTCTTTTCACATATTCCTTCCCATATCTTCAACTATCCCATCTCCTCCGCGTAGCGCATCTGGCTCCCTCATGGCAGATTGCCATGATCCAGATGGCCGGTTCCTTTTTTTTTTTGGTTTCTTTTTTCTATTGCTTTCGTAGCATGTATGCTTAAGCGACTTCAATTGGCGCGGCAGGTTACTGCCAAAGGAGTGAACTATCCTCTGAGGCAAAGAGGAGGGACATCCAATGCACGGCGTGTTCGGTCTTTCGACGCGGGAAGCGACTCCCATGAGGGGGGTTCAAAATTGATCAAAGCAGGGTAAAAGCACCAACAAGTTGTTATGATTTACCTGCGCACCACGATGCCTTGACGACGGACACCGCTGCGGGCACGGCGGTACTCCTCATCACTGTCGGACTCGGAGCAGCTAGCCTCAGACGACTCGGTAACATAGCCGCATCGGCTGCCGCCACAGTCGAGCTTGACCCGGTCACCCTTGCGAGTAATGCCGTAGCGCTCGCAGTGGCAGATCGGGGTGGGTGGGTCACTCATGGACGACAGGGAAGATGGGGAAGTGCTGCCGGATGAGCGAGACGACAGGGATGAACCAACCGAGCTGGGCGGGCTGTTGGAGAGCGAGTACTCGTCCGACAGACGGGAGTCGGCAAACCGCGTGGTGAGGTCTTCCATGGTGGGAGCAAAGTCCGTCTCCCGGATTTGACGGGAAGCATAGGGCTTGGACGGCTTGGGGTGGTGGATCTTGGACGGAGAAGGAGCACGACCCTTGACGAAGTCTGTGGAGGCCCGGTGGTGCTTGGGAGCGGGCTGGGAAGACTTCTTGCCACCGGGAACATCGAGGATGTTCAGCTTGCGGCCGGTGGTGGGCTCAACGGTGTACTCAACAGCGGGATCATGGGACACATGGTAACCATCCATGATGTACTGCGGTAAGGTTAGTTAGCTTATGGGCCATTCGAGTCAACGGGAGTGTCACATACGTAGTACCAGTAGCGGCCACCCAGCTTCAGCATGGAGGTCTGGAAGCGGAACTTGCCAGTCCATGCGCCTGGCTTGACATCATCCCGGGAAAGGGGGATCTGACGGGAGTAGTTGTCCCAGGAGCCGACCAGATGGACGGTCTTGACATTGGAGGAGGTGCGCAGCGAGAACTTGAGCTGAACAGCAGACATGTTGAGAGAGATTGACCAGGTTATACTAAGAATTAGATTATATGCAGCAGAATGAAGGCGTAATGGTTTAAAATAATCGTGTCAATGGCGGGAAGTGAGTCGTCGTTATAAAAAGGCCGAGATGGAAGGGACTACCAGAGTCGATTCACGTCTAGCCTTGTGTTGGGGTTGGTTGGTTGGCTGTGCAAATGTATAACAACGAGGCTTTGCTTGATAGGATCCAGTCCTTGACACGCAACCAGAAATATTAGATAGATGATGTTGTTGCAAAGAATAAAGGACAAGGCCAGCAAGTCGTCTGAGCTGATATGACAGGAACACGAGAAGTCGACCGGCGACAACGAAATGAACCGTCACGAGGTTGAATGGTTTAGAAGTATCCGAACAAGATGCAATAAAAGCAATCAAGCATTACACAGAGCACAGCTCGTGTATTGAGGGGGAATTGGTGGGGGGATTTTTTGATATATTGATAGTAAAAGAGGTAAGGGGAATAATTAAGATGTAGTATAACAAGCGACGAATAGACAAACAAACAAAAAAACCAGTGCAGCCAGTGCACAGGGGGGGATACTTCTAAACCACGGGCAGTCAGACAAGCAAGCTTGCTGAAGAAAGAAAGAGAAGAAAGGGCAGAGAACGCCCTGGCGGCTACAGCAGCCTTTTAAGAGAGCGCCGGGGGGAGAGGGAAACGAGCAGACGAGAGAGCCCGGTAGAGAGTCAACTACTCAGTTAGTGTAATGCGTGTGATGGGATTGTCACCCGCCATCTTCTATTCTGGGAAGAGCGAGAGCAGCTCTTCGCCAGTCAAATCCCCGCTTCGTCCTCTCGCCATCCCAGCCGGCGGGTAATTCGTTGGTTTCATTGGCTTCAAGGGCAGCCGGGCCTGCAGCAGACAACCAACCATTCTCACTACTCGCCCATCCATCGTCCCTCCATCTCCCCTCCACCTCCATCGCCATGCTTTTCTTCCCTTGCCGCCCTCCACGAGCACATTCTCCCGAGCCATCCCACCTATCAATAGAAACCTCGCTAGCCAATCGCACTCACACAAGAAGGGAGACGGCCTGTCACCGACATCTCCATTCTGCAGCACCGAGGAATTTTAAAGTTCGTGCACGGGATTGAGGAGGGGGTTGGACGCTATCCCACCACTGAGAGAAGCAAGAACAACCACTCTACACACTGACTCTCCACTACAAATACACACCATGCAGCATCTGCCCCAATTAGGACCCTGTCATGGCCGGCTCTTACGTGCAGAATTGCCATGACATCTTTTACCCCTCTTCTTCGTCTGCTTCTCTAGATCCAATTTCGATTCGATTCCGTAGGGACAAATCATCATCATCCAAGTACATCGTTGCTTACACCAGCCATTCCTCCAACCATGGCCAGCAAAAGAAAAAGGGAAAGAAGGGAGGAAAGAAAAAAAAAATAAATAACAATATATAGAAGCTCGAATCAAAATCATAAACCTCTGGTCCTCTGTACGCCGGAAAATGCCGAATCGGTCTGGTCTTCGGTTGATATCACACGTTTTGGGGGGTGGAGAATTATTAGGAAAAAAAAAACAAGGGGGAAAGGAAACGGAGAGGGAGAGAGAAATAAAAGGCATAGAAACACCAGAAGACGGAAGAGATACCACAGAAGAGAAGAATCTGATGTACACGGATAGTCATCTTTCCTCCCCCTCACCGCACGGACACGCCAGACCGGTTGGTAAACATGCGAGCGGCAATGTTCATCGAGGCCAGCTCTTGGAACAGAAGCTTGGCTGCATACGGGATATGCACCTGGGAGATTCGGTGCTTGTTGTTACACAGTCGACACTCGAAGAGTCCCTTCTTCAGTTTTCTGTCGTTCCATCATCGTTAGCTAATATCGTCAGGTAAATTCAAGGATGTCTCTCCACTTACGCAACAGGGGTCATCAAGCCACAGTCGTCGCAGATGTGCACCCGGAAGGGATCGGACACGTCGAACAACCGTTCCTTCAGGAATGCACTGGCTCCGTGCGCAATCATACAATCGCGTTCCATCTCTCCGAATCGGAGACCACCGTCTCGAGCACGACCTTCCACCGGCTGTCGCGTCAAGATCTGAGTCGGTCCACGCGCACGGGCGTGGATCTTATCGTCGACCATGTGGCGCAGACGCTGGTAGTATGTCGGTCCCAAGAAGACCTGCGCAACCAGCTTGCGTCCAGTGTGTCCGTTGTACATCACCTCAAAGCCACGGGACTGGTATCCGTGCTCCCGCAGGAGACGGGAGATCGAGTCGACCGTAACGTCGGTGAAAGGCGTCGCGTCACCCTCGAACCCACGTAGCGACGACACTTTACTGAGCTGACACTCGATCAAGTGCGCGATTGTCATACGTGAGGGAATAGCGTGAGGGTTGATGATCAAGTCGGGGCACACACCCTCGCGAGTGAAAGGCATGTCTTCTTGACGGTAAGTGATACCGATGGTACCCTTTTGTCCGTGACGAGAGGCGAACTTGTCTCCAATCTGGGGAATCTTGGTCGTCCTCATGCGCACCTTCACGAACTTCAGGTCATCGTTGCTCGTAGACACCAGGACCTGGTCCACAATACCGTTCTCCGTACTTCTGAGAGGAGTCGACACATCCAACTTGGTGTGGGCCTTGGTACGTTGACCGAGCTCCTCTGCTTCAGGTGCCAAGGGCGCCGTCTTACCAATGATGATATCCTCACCGGATACACGGACACCAGGAGCAATGATACCGTCTTCATCGAGCTTGTCGTAGGTACCCTTTCTCATACCGATCGTATCCGATCTCATAGGCTTCTCAAAGCGTTCGACAACTGTCAGTCCGACCATCTTCTCGCTGTCCGTGTATGTACGGTAGAACAGACTGCGGAAAAGACCACGGTCAATGCTGCTCTGGTTCATAATAACCGAATCTTCCTGGTTGTAACCGGAATAACAGGCGATGGCAACAATGGCGTTCTGGCCGGCAGGCAGTTCACGGAACCGCAAGAATTCCATAGACCGTGTTGTCGCCAAAGGCTTCTGCGGGTAATACAGAATGTTGGCCATTGTTTCCATGCGCTGGTCAAAGTTCGTCAGGAACACACCCATAGCTTGTTTACCCATGGCAGACTGGTAGGTGTTACGAGGAGATTGGTTGTGGTCGGGGAAAGGAATGATACTGGCGCAAACACCCAGGATCATACTGGGGTGAATCTCGCAGTGTGTCCAGGTGTGTGCCTTTTGACTCAGAATAGAACGCACACGCTTGTTGGGATCGTGCAGCTCTTCCTCGGGAAGGGCATAACCGGCCTGAAGTTGCTTCGAGATCTCCAGGTCCTCTGGTGTCATTACGATCATGATTGTCTCCTCCTCCTCGGCGTCGACGTACTCAACGACACCAGACTTCACCAAACCATCCCAACCAAAGTAGCGCTCCCTGCGGTCTTCTGGATCCAGATCGGGGGGCAAGTCCTTGTCTTGCTCCAGTTTGCGGATGTGCTCCTTGTTGAGCACCAGTGAACCACAGTTCTCGCTCTTGGGATCATTGTCGACGACGTACAGTGGCCGACACACGCGTCCAGCATCGGTAAAGATCTTGAACTCTCGCTCACGAATATCACGAATTAAACTGACCTCGTGAGAGATCATGTTCCGGCGACGGAGAGAGAGCATGGTGTTCACCAGATGCGCAGGATCTCTATGAATACCCACCCAAACACCGTTGACAAACACCTTGGTCGCATTTGGCGTCACCTGCGGCTCGAATTCTTCGAGGACTTCCATGTTGCGTTGAATCATGAAATCAATAATGGGCTCACTAGGCGTACCAACAGTGATGTAGCACATGAGCGCCAAGTTCTTGACCAGACCACAAGCCTGACCTTCAGGGGTTTCAGCTGGACAAACCAGACCCCAATGGGTGTTGTGGAGCTGACGAGGTTTGGCGATCTTACCGTCTCGACCAATTGGTGTATTGGTACGACGAAGGTGGGACAACGTAGAGGCGTAGGTATAACGACTGAGCACTTGAGATACACCAGCCTTGGCGCTGGCTGCCTTCTTCTGCTCTCCCCAGTTACCCGTAGCAAGAGCGTACTTCAGACCTCCTGTCAAGGTGCTGGCCTTGATACCAATGTTCAAGTAGATCTCCCTGTTCGTCTCCACGCATCTTTGCACGTACCGCTGAAGGTCACGGGTGACACGAGTGAACAGAACTCGGAAGAGGTTTGCAAGAAGAGGACCAGCCAAGTCGAGACGCTTCTTACCGAAGTGATCACGATCATCGACATCACGACGGCCCAAGGCACACTGCAGAAGTCTGTGCACCATGTAACCCAAGAAGAAGGCTTTCCGGGTCTCACTACCTTCGCTCTGAGAAATGTGGGGAAGGAACTCCTTTTGCATGATTTCGCGTGCGTATCTGACACGACGCTCGTGGTTCATACTAGACTGAGAAGAACCACGCTTGGCAATGAAATCCAGCGCCACCTCACGGTCCTGGATAACGAAACCTTCCTCAATACAAGGCTTCAGCATCTCCAACATCGGTGTGTCATTCCGGTCGTAGCAAATGTGGTTCAGAATATCTTCATCAGAAACCACACCGAGGGCTCTGAAAACAACGACGATGGGAATGTCCGTCTTCACGTAAGGCAAGGTCGACCGAATTGTAGGACCAAATCCACCCTTGGCACTGTCACCCTTGGCAAACAGCTTCAGGGACAACTGAGAAAGAAGTCGTGATCCCTTCTCGACAGCACTCCGAATCTCCGCGACATAGGGCGTGGGACTAGGCGGTGCCTTCTTGAAAACTTGAACCGTGTTTCCAGCACTGCGCTCTTGGGCGATCAATACCTTTTCACTTCCGTTGATGATGAAATAACCACCAGAGTCGTAAGGGCACTCGTTCCAGTTGTAAAGAGCTTGCTCGCTCAAATCCTTGAGGATACAGTACTTGGACTTGAGCATAATTGGCATCTTTCCAATGAAAACGGTCTCCTCCTTCGCCTGGTCAGCAGGCAGCTCCTTCTGCTCCCACTGCAGGTAAGTCCCGTGAGCTTTTCTATCCTCATTCGATTCACCCATATCATCCTCATCTCGGTCCGCGACCAGACGTTCACGACCTTCCATGATCTTCTTCGTAACACCGAGATAAAGGGGACTAGCGTATGTAAGATTACGCAGGCGAGCCTCCTGGGGCAACATGATAGTGGTCGCACCATCACCCTCAGTCACGGACGGTCGAGAGAGCATGACGGTTCCAAACTTCAGCTCGTATCGGCGGACAACCACGGGATCGACTTCATCTTCGGAGGGAGGGAGAGTTTGGTCGAGTGTTACTTGGCCTTGTTCCTCCACCAGCTCCTGCATTGTCGAGGAGATAAATTCATCGAAAGAGTCCAGCTGTTGTGACACTAGACCTTTGGTGTCGAAGAAGGACGAAATGACCGTCCAGCAATCCTCCGAGGTGATGCCCTCGTCCATATCGTCGTAGTACTCATCCTCGTAAGCATCTTCGTAGTCGGCCATCTTGGCGGATATGGGTCGTAAACGCAATGAAAAACCGCAGTCGATAGGACAATGAGCGCAAAGGGCGCGACGCGCTCGGCGGAAAAGATCCCACTCGAGGTTGTTGGACGACTGGCGTAAGTAGAATGCAGCGAAGCAATCGTCCTAGGAGTAACAGGGGAGGCCAATAAGCCGGAAGCCTCAGATGGATGGAAGAAAGAGAGATCCCAGGCCACCGGTGATGCTGGTGAAGGGAGCAGCTGGGGTGCTTCGACTCTCTCCGGGCGCTGATGGATCTTGCCTTGGAAAGAGCCGCCACTAGCCTCGACCGCCTTCTGGCGCTAAGCTGTGAGCTAGTCCTGATTAGTAGATCACGTGATAAGTGTAACAATTCATGTTGCTGGTAATACTTCACTTTTTACTCAGATCATTAACTATTACTGTGGACATTTACGAAAGGAATGAATGACAAAAATCGGCGCAGTATGGTACGCGATATGTTATTATACATAATGATTACAGGAACTGTAGAAGCGTCTCCAGCATCTCCTTACTATCCTTCTCGCCGGGCTCATCCTCAGATAGCCCTTCCATTTGCTCTGTTCATTCAATTAGCACAAGATCCAGACGGTATAGAAGGCGTAGGGACCAGAGCTTACCCTGTAAGGTTCGTCTAATCAGTGACAAATCTTCGTCGCGGTCAGCCAGAAGGGACACAATCTTCTTTTTTGCCCCGTCATCTTCGGCCACCAACCAGGCCAAAATGACATCAATAAGCTTTGGGTACTGTTAGTTCATACTGCAGCAACGGGGTATTCCGGAGAGCAAACCTGTAAAGAAAATAGACCGGCATCGAATCGCCTGGACAGCCACTCGGCCGCCATGATCTCTTGTTCCTCTTCCGTGAAGTTCTTTCGTTCTTTCTCGATAGCTTGCTCGACCGGTGTCACTCGTTGGGCGTAATCCCGGCGCAACTTGATGAGCTTTTCGATCTTCTCATAGTCCTTCTCCATAAACTTGGCTAGTGTACGAATCCGTGGTGCGGAACCGCCCGGAAGTAAGCGCAGCAGCGAAGCGAAAATGCCCAGCAGATGCTCCGTCGTTTCATTGTCTTGCTATAGGGGTTTAGCTCTAGCCCATATTCTATGATATCGGTGACACATACCTTCTTTTTGAACATCCCAAATACTGTACTCAAGCATGCTGCTTCAACAAAGCGTTCACATGCAGGCGCGCCTGCCATGCCTCCTAGGGCGTGGTCCAGGAGTCGTAAAGCCCGTTGCTTGCTGAACTTGCCCTCCTTCAACATGATTTGTGCAAGCTCAACACCCTCAGCTTCCAGGAATTTTTCTTTGCCGTAATCCTCATTCACAAGGTAGTTCAAGCTGCCAAACAAGTTCTCCACATATTCCTCTTCGTCGGAATCCTTTTCGGGATCACGCTTGCGGTATGCACTAAGCAATTGCAGGAGAATTTCAACGCCATCCAGGCTGGCGACCTTCTCCCTCTTCTTGGGGGCTGATTGTAGTAGGATGGCAAGTATTTCTGCTGCATATTGCTGGTTTTGCGTCACTGGCCTTTCCTTCTTCTGTATACGAGCGATAAGCCAAGGTAACAGGTTTGGGTCTTGCCCTATCTTCTCTGCGATAGCTGTTTGCGAAGCAATATTCTCCAAGACGTCTTCAAAGTAATCAGTATACCCGTCGTGTACTTTGTCCGGGGTAACTCACTTAGTACGTAGTACACGCCTGCCCTATCGACCTCGGACTCTTCGTCAAGTCGCGAAAGGTTTTGCGCCAAGAGCTCGATAAGTTCGGCATCCAACTGGACCAGTAAGCATTCGTTCAAACAAAACTCGGAAGCATGTATACCATTGCGTTCACCAAACTGTCCCATTGTTCTTGTTCGGCCTCCACATCTTCATCCGTCAACTCGCCAATGATCTGGATCACATCAATTGCAATATCGGCATTCTCGTGGGAAAGCAGCGACATAAGCGAGCCTACACAGCCCAGCTTCGCAAATTCGCTGTATAGATTTGAATTCTCGGAGAGGATGGAGAGGCTCTTGATTTCAGTATCGAGATCTGCTTCCGAGGCCATAAATCTAGGTATATCAGCATAATGGTTCAATACCAGGATATGCCTTGCCAGCACGTACTTTTGAGGATCATTTTCAAACTTTCCGCGCAGTTCGGCGTTCTTCGAGATCTTCTTTTCGAAGTTGAGGGCGAAGCGTCGCAACCAGGTAACGTCGAACTTCTCCGGCTATAGCCACTTCAGCAAACGAGCCCATGGAGCACAGCGAATAAGATTTCCTTACCGCAACATCTGCTTCCTCGTGTTGATCGATATATTGCATAGCCTCTGCCGTTTGGCGCTCCATACCGCCGCCGAAGAAGCGTCCTTCTTCGTCATCTGGGATATCCTCGGCGTCGAAATCGGGAGGTAGTTCAGGACCCGCGTAGCCGTCATCCTCCTCGCCTCCATCCTCTACCATGGGCGCCTTTCCTTTTGATTTCACATCGACATCCACATCTAGTTTAGCAGCTTTGTAGAGCTCGTCTTTGGTCGCAAGTCAGCCGACGTCAAGTCAAGTTGAACGTGAAGGAGATGAACGCACTCGGGTCTTTCGCGGAATCTAGTTTGCGCTTGGCACTTGCTGCCGAGGAGGGTTTCTAGATTGTCAGCGCTATTATAACAAGTCACTTTATAGATAACTTACCTTGAAGAGCTCATCGATGCTCGTCATGGTTGCGGCTTGCGCAGCTGGAGAGGCAGAGCGGAAAAGCACTTCAAACCCAACCACCAACACGGATTTGTATAAGGGCCAATAGAGCAGGGAAAAGCGACTCTGCAAAAGGAAGTATCGCCTATGAATTGATTGTTATAGATCCCTTCTTGCGGGCTTCTTTTCGATCAACTGGTCGCGCAGCAGGTCCGAAGAAGATACGGGAACCGCGATAAGCTAAAAGTGCAGCCGCCAAGGACCGAAAGATTTCTCGGAGTTCTCATCATTCCCGGCCTCACCCTGCCATCGACCATCGTCATTCTCGCTGTCAATACACCTTTTCATCTCAAGACATCACCTATCCTACATCTTTAATACATTTTCAAAATGGTTCCCAGACAGCGTGTCGTCTCTGGCCGTCAGCAGAAGAGCTTCTTCAGCACTGCCTATGACGAAGTCACCCACCCCGAGAATGCTACCATTGTGAGAAGCGTTCTGGTCTTCGGCGTAAGTTCTACAATTCTGGCGAGATCTGTACAGGCTGTACAATGTCAAGGATGATCTAATACGAATATGTGTACAGGCCGGCGTCGCTTTCCTTTACAGCAGCCTCAGCGAGCTCCTCCTTCCTCCGTAAGTCGAGACTCGATCCCATCCATCGCAATCGCTGCAATAAATCTCGGCAATCGAAAATAAATTACTGACGGAAGAAGTATGTAAACGGATCTTCGCACGTTCGTCCGCATGTCCCTATGATCTGAAATTATCGGCTGTCTGGAAGGGTTGTCGATGTCGATCACGAAACGCGGACAAAATTTCCTACTTCTTCCTCTGAATTCGATTCTAATGAATACGTGTATTATACTGTGTGCTTCATGGGCATATATGGGCTTCAACGTTATGTGGCTAGGCTTGTCATCCGGGTCCGTGAAGGATCAACATTATGTGGCGTTGGAATAGATATGATCTCCGGAACATTTCCCGGTCTCTCCTCCGCATAATTGCATATGCTTTAATAGGGCTTTTGCTCTGTAGTTGTCTTATCTCTTCATATCTCATTGCTAGTCAGGTTTAACTCAGGGCCTTTGTGGATGGTCACATCTGTGAATCGGGCCATGAGTGTCGATTGAACAGTCAGTAGCGGTGGTTCCAATGTGGAGTTATGGCTTTTGAATGACGGACTTGCTCGTGATAAGAGTCGAACAAAAATGTAGTCTTAAGCCAGATATATCAATTATATTCAGCGCAATCATTCACCGGTGAGGTGGGCTCCTCTTTTCTGCAGAATGCAATGCTATGAAATGGTAATGCCAACAAGACTTATAGTCGCCCTGTTGAATGTACTTGGTCTGAACTCTGGAGGGAACGACACCAGTGAGACGCCAGATGCCTGAGGCCTGAGGCATCAAGATCGCATTGTGAGCGCCGCCGCACTAGACAAAAGTTCTGGACAGTGAATATCTCCCACTCAACATCGCTCCACTCGAAAGTACCCAACAATCCAGCGTATCAGCGAATAAACTCTCTCCTATAACAGCGCTTATTTAAGCGGCTACATCTCTCATATCAAATTGGCGGGGAAGCCCGCAAAAGCCCCCACATCCGGCCGGGTCCCGAACACCGCCTTCTTTAGTGCTGGGGGAAAGATAGTCCATGGCTGTCTATTACCAACCAACCCCGGACGGCAGACACGGCAACGATAGGCAACTGCTAACTTCCGACCCTCTCATGCTGAATGTGATCTCCTGCACAGCTGCAAATGCCGTTGGCTTTGCTTTTTTACTAGCATGTTGACCGCCAAGCGCAAGCCGTCAAGTGCGGACTTGGGTGATGATAGACCCGTGGCGAAGAGAAGTAACAGCCTGAGCCACAATGCTCATGCGCCTTGGTTGCAAGACTCCAGACCTTCTCGGAGCTGGCGGGCTATGGGAGATCGGGGGGTACGGTCTTCGCTGCCTCTAGAAAATATGGTCTCGACTGTGCGGGATCTCATTGACCCTGATTTCGACCCTCTTATTGCTCTTCTTGACGATGAACCGCGCTTCTTAAAACCTCTCCCGTCTCGCATACCGCCGGAAGACCTTGAATTCTTGCGATTTCGGGAGGCTTTGTCGATCCCAGAGAGCGGCCTGCGGAATGAGCTACTGCGATGCTATATTAAATGGGTGCATAGCTTCATGCCGGTCTTGAATCTACAGGAATTCCTCAGATGCGTCGCGGAAAATGACCCCAATGGTAATATTAGTCTCCTGCTGTTTCAAGCAGTCATGTTCGTGGCGACGGCCTTCATCGATCTGCATCATTTGCAGGCTGCTGGGTATGCCACTCGGAAAATTGCCCGTAATGTTTTCTTTACGCGATTAAGGGTATGTCTCGCTTGATAGTTCATCCGTGTCTTTAGCTAACCAGTCAATATAGCTCCTCTATTCACTTGACTGCGAAGATGATCGTATAGTCATACTGCAGACTCTACTACTTATGACTTATTGGTCTGACCATCAAAATAATCCGCAAAGAGATATCTGGGACTGGATTGGTGTCTGCAATATACATGCACATTCGATCGGATTAAATAGAGACCCTTCATCATCGACCGATATGGACCCGAGGATAAAAAGGCTGAGGACCCGAATTTGGTGGAGCTTGTACTCGCGAGATCGTCTCATTGCGATGGGGCTAAGACGCCCAACCCAGGTGAACGAAGGGACAAGCAATGTCCCCATGTTGAAGCTGGAAGACTTTGACTTCGAGCCGTTCCACCCTCGCGTGATTGAGATGTTTCGCTGTCGTCAGCTGGAAGATGTTACTCACCAAAAGCGCTTGGCGACTATGTTCATCGAAAAGGCCAAACTATGCCAGTGCATCGGACGGGTTTTGTTCGCTCAGTATACCCCATCACAGTGTCAGTTTGGCGTAACAACACGAACGACCATCAGCCTCATCCCTCGACAGGCATCAGAATCGGAGTTGGCACGATGCAGTCAGCGGTTGGAATCATGGTTGAGTGCACTACCCAAAGACGCACAATTCATTCCTGCATCAAGGACAAATTTCCACGATGGAGAAGACGTCCTTCTCCTCCACGGTGCCATGGTACGAATGCTGTATCATGCGACCACAAGCGCGCTGCATCGTCCTTGGGCCTTCACGCCAAACAAGGATCAGTCCAAAGCACGCAGGGAGTTAATTCAAACTGCGCAAACAAAGATGCATGACGCTGCAGTCGGTATCACACATATCATCCAAGGTCTCAATCAGCTCAACCTCACGCGATTTCTCCCCCAATCCGGTGTGACCGTCATCATCCCAGCCGCTGTGGCCCATCTGGCAAACTCCTCATCTGGCAATCCCGCCACCCGAGAATCCAGCATCTACAACTTTCAGCGCTGCATCCAAGTGCTGCAAGGCCTTAGAGACATTTACCCTGCAGCAGACATGGAGGTCGCGAACATCGAAGCGGCAGTTAAGCTACAGTCGGACAGCGCAAGCACCTTCCTCCGAATCATGCAATACACCAACAACTCCGGTTCTATATCTCAAGGCCAGTCACCAGAACAAGCACGAAAGCATAGCACCATCTCAAACCCACACACCATAGCATCAGCAGAAGACCGAACCTCTAGCCACTGGACGCCTCCCCGAGACGACCCCGACCCAACCAACAACCACAAACTACCCGGACCTCATCATTCAGCCAGTCCAACCAAGCAACAACTACAACAGCAGCGCACACCACCCAAACGCCACAGCAGCACAATCAACCCACCTCCCATCTTCAACAACAGCAACCCTACTGCCAACAACAAAAACAATCCCACCAACTCCCTCCCCAAACAAGCCGAACCCACCCCACCCAACGACTTCGACGACGACCCCATATCCACATTCCTCAACGACAACAACGACAACAACCCCACCATCTCCCCCCGAAACACTCACTCCCAACCCAATTTCACCTTCGACCAACCCTCCGACCAATTCCCCTTCGACTTCGACCTCGACCTCGACTCCTTCGCCGCCGACTTCCCGCCCCAAACCCAACCACCCACCAACCTCAACCCACACTCTACTTCCAACCCCGACGCCTCCCCAGACCTCGACATAGATTGGGCCAGTGAGCTCCTCAGATGGACTGGACCTGGTCCGGAGGACGCATTAACCAATAACAATGATTTGTTCTCGCCGTTTGCGCCGACCCATAATGTTGTGAGTACGCCCGGGCAGAGGTCTATGAGTCATGTGACTGGGGATATTACGGGGGATTTGGATAGGGATTTGGGGTTTGTTCCGTCTGATGAGGAGATGTTTTAGGTTTCTATTATCTGGGTGTGGGTGTATTGGGGTATCATGGAGTTCAGTGTAAATATATATATAAGTAGTTTACTTAGTCGCGGAAGTGGTGCGTGCGTACGGATAGACGCGCCCTGTAAATAAATCTTGCTTGCCCTCAGGCAGTTCCGTCTCAGTTACTAGTAGTAAGTCATAGTATTGAAACTTATAGATGAGGAATGGTACACTATTAGTACTAGTACTACTACTACTACTACTAGGTGGATACCATTGAAACATTTCTCTAATTCTCTTCTCATATAGTCTAGATAGTACCAGTAGTACTCATAGTAACTAACTATAAAACAATGCTTAACATGACTTGAAGTAAATAAATAAAGACTCGTCGCTCGCCCTGTACATTAGCCACCATATATGCGATCTGTAAATCGTTGGGAATTGAATCTAGATGACTTGCGTCTTAGCTGACTATAGTTATGAGATCAATGAATATGTTTGTTTGGTCGATGACTCGCACTACTTGCGAGCCCAGCGGTTGCTTTCATCGCCCTCTTCCCATTGGTGCTCAATGTAGCCAAGCTTCTTCTTGACACTTTGTACGGTCTCCTTGTCACCTGTGTTCTTGCCCATGTTGTCGCTTAGCTTGACGGCTGGGCGGCCGTTAGCGGTGGCGATCTTGATGACGATGTTGAGCGGCTTGGATTTTTGGCCGTCGGATTTGTTCGTGAAGTCGTCTGTGAAAATTTTGTTAGTTCTTAATTTCGTGGGGACATTGGGGTAGGTCCCTATATAGTACGGGTATATGGGTAAAACGTACTAGTGAAGAAAGTTCCGACACCGAAGACAGGCTTGAAACCGGCTTCTTCGGCGATCACCTTGTATTCAAGGCAGTGCTCGATGTCTAATGAATCGGAAAAGACAATGGTCTTCGGGTCCTTGACGCCCTCTCTGTCGTAGAAGTCCCGCACCATCTTCACAAAGTATGTGGGATCTCCAGAATCCTGGCGGACACCGGTGTAGACCTGGGCGTAGGTCTTGTTGGCGTGTTCGCCTTGCGCGTCGTTGACCAAAGGAGCTGCGATTGGGGGTTTGGTAGTAGCCTCGCTCTGTACTGTGGACTCTGTCGTGGTGCCAGGTCCGGAGGCGGTGGTGGAGACTGCGCCGACACCTGCACTGGTGAAAGCAGGAATGGGTTTGCGGAAAGCGTCGAGGAAAGCGGGCGTGCCGAATGTGTCGGTCAGTGCAACGCCCAGAACCTGTTATGCGTTAGTTACTAGGACCTGGACGATCCTAGGTCTGTGGACTTACTCCTTCACCAAAGCAACCAAGCCAGTAGCGCAGGGCCATCTCGTTCGCGTTCTCGTAGTCATCCGTGATGGCAGCGATGGTCATGTACCATTCATGGGCCACAGTGCCCACAGGTGCCACGCCGTACTTCATGGCAAAGTGGACGTTACTCGTGCCAGTAAACACTCCCTTCCATCCTTGCTTCTTTCCTTCCTCCGCAGCCTGCATCAATCCCTGCATGACCAGATCGTGGGTGTGGTAGTCGCGGCGTCTTCGAGAGCCGAACTCGGAAAATATGCAACCATTCTCCAGCAACGCGCATCCTTTCCGGAATGCCTTGTCCTCCTGACAGCTGTAGTCCCAGTCCTTATCGGTGAACATGAAGTAGGCCTGACTTGTTAGAGCCAGCAGCGGGATCTCATACAAGATCGTTTCCACCCACAGACCCTTGATGACGTAGTTGACGTTGCCGAGATCATCGTCGCTGCCAGTATCTTGCTCCGGCGTGAAGTGAATCTCGATCTGTTCTGACGGCTTGAGCTTGAGGTTGGTCAGGTAGTCCAGGTAAGCGTAGTTGAAGTACGGGCACCATTTCTTTAGGAACTCGATCTCCTCATTCGTGACTCGGATGTTTGCAATCGCTGATGAAGATAATTGTCAGACTAACCCAGATATCCAACACACAGTCGATTTACATACCATCCATCTGTGCCAGAAGCCATTTGTAGGCACCCCGCGTTAACTTCATATCCGGGGTGCGATTTGTGAAACCATATGTGACATCTACATTCAAGAGAAAGGTTAGCCTGGCCCACAGAGCTTTTGAGAGCTATATCGGCGTCTTACAAACATCTGGAAAGTACTTGAGGACGGCGCATTGCATCGTCAATTTGTACAGATCCGTATCAAGCAACGAGAAAATACCCTCCGGGAGCGGAGGGGTATTATTTTGGGCCATGACGAGGTAGATTGGACCACACCGCGAGTAGAGGATAGAGCGCAGGAAGAAATTCCAAGCGAGGGACCGGAAGACAAGGACTAAAGGCGCGAGATAAGGAACAAGCAGGCAGACGAATTCGGAGGAAAGTACTCAAAAGAGAAATCTCCCATTGCGTCTCTGCGCGGGGGAATCACCCACTGCCTGACGCCGTTTGCACTGTTTGCACACTGGCTTTCGTCATCAGCAAATCGCCGGCCCACATCTTTTCTCTATATTGTGTTCTCTGAATATGATAGGGTTTACTTTAACAGGGAATTTTGGAGTTAAATGCAAGAAGTACTAAAAGATAGGATGTCATGGGTGGCGTTGGGTATGCGCATTTCCTCATCCTCGCAGGAACCCCTCGGGGAACCCCTCCGTCTGGGTCTAGACTGACTGCATCCCACATGCATGATGCCAAGTCTACAGGGTATGGATATCAGGATATAATTTAGTCAGTTACAGAATCTACATGTGTATACGAAGAGCTATCATAGCTATGAGAGATATGATTCCCGCCAGAAGCACTGGACAAATTGTACAGCGTAGTTGCTGCCAGAGTTGTAAGGCAGCAATACCCCGCCCGTTTGCATAGACTGTGGCTGGAGAATGGCTTGATTTGATGAACATGAAAGGAGATGAAGGACCCGCCAGGTACTTTGAATATGTAAATGAGATTCAAGCAATTCCACATCTTAGTGAGCTACTATAAAAGCTTTGACAGCCAAGAGTCACCACATCTTTGGGTCTGACAGTTAGGATCGCCAATCTGTGGCTTGACTGTGATGACTGTGGCTGAGACTCCGGGTCCGGAACATTCTAGATCCGGCAATCCTGTCGCTCCCTCCCTTCGGCGTCCCGTCGATATCCCCGATCAATGCTTCTCAGCGCCACCATCTCAGCCTGTACATACTCATCATCGATTCCATCCGTTACGACATCGCGCCGAGTTACCGAATAGCCTGCAGCGGGCTGCGTCGCATTTTACACCTTGTTCAACGCGCATCCGGTCGCAGCCCGAAGGCCCCCCGATAGCGGCATCATATCAAGGCCCGATTCATATCGGGAACAACGATCAGTGAACGCGCAAGATGTCGCAGGCTCAGGACGACCCCGCGGCCGTTTTGGAACTTTTCGTTCACGATGTGGCGAACCTTCCAGCTGAAATCAACCATCTGATGGAAGAAATCCAGGCCAAGGACAAGATCATCCAAGAATGCCGCACGACCATCAACTCCCGCGACACCAGTCTCCAGAAATTCATCCGCTTAAACGGCAGCTTGACGCCCAACCCGAAAGAAGAGCAATACGGCAAAGCCATAATACAGAACCTCGACAAGTCGCAACAGCTGCAAGATGAGAAGATTCAACTGAGCGAGAAAGCATGTGTTCTGCTGGACCGACATATCAGGAAACTGGACATCGCCATCCACAAGCTACAAAGTAACGGCATGCTCTCGAACGACCCTCCTATTCCCTCCCTCTTCAACAACAAAGACCAATACCGCGACCCTCCCAAGATCTTCTTCCCCGATTCCACCGTCGAAAACTCCTCCTTTCCCTCCCCTCTCAATGGCACCTCCGCGAACGCCAATGTCATATTAGGCGCCACCCAGAAACTCAACTCCCTGGGCCGAAACGCTGCCGCACTCGCTCTGAACTCCCCGACTGCCGCGCGAAGCTCCGCCCCAGCAACACCCTCAGGAACGATCCACTTCCAACGACAACAACGAGAATCTTCCGCCGGCGCAGTGGAAAACAAGCGCCGGCGCCTCAACGCTTCACTCGGAACACTCCCCGCGGCCTCGTCCAACCTCCGACAATCCTCTCTCGGTCCCGGTACACCCAAAGCCGGAACCCCGGCTTCAAGCCGAGCCGGCAGCGCAGGACCGCGCTCAACAGCCTCCACTAAGAAAGCCGTAACCAAGAAAGTGGCCCCGCACCAACAAATCAAGAAGATCAAAGCCTCCGGACTCAACGGAAAGCACACGAAACGATCCTCCAGCGCAAGCGGCCGTCTCAAAGTCAGCGGCACAAAACAATCACCATCCGCTGCCGGAGGCGACGAAGACGAGGACGACTCCATGCTCAGCAGTGCCGATATCTCGGATTCCGAGAACGCCGACGAGGGTAGAAGAGACGAAGACATGGAAGACGAGGAAGAAGACGAAGGCAACGAAGATACCAAGGTGTATTGTACGTGTCGCAGCGTCAGCCATGGAGATATGGTTGCGTGCGATAACGACAACTGCGAGTTTGAGTGGTTCCATTGGAAGTGTGTGGGTTTGACGAGAGAACCTGTTGGGAAGTGGTTCTGTCCGCAGTGTTCGGCGAAGTTGCAGGCTTAGTTTGGTTCATATAGTTATACCCCCCTTTCTCTTTTGTCTCTGTGTCAGGTGTATTATTATAATGACTATATAGGATGTTATGACGGCGTTTTATCTTTGCAGTTCGAATCAATCCAGGATGCATTCGATTTCTTAGTCAGTCTTATATCACTAGTAACTAGTAGTTCACCAGGGGCAAGCAAGTAAAAGGTAGTTATTTGTAACTGTAATAGTTCTCTCTTCCATTGAATGTGCCACAGCAGCCCATCCAAACAACCGACAGTACTATATACTACAATGGACAACCCAGCCAACAAAAACCCAAATTACTAGTTAGTAGTATAGTGAATAGCTAATAAGTAGCATCAGGCAGTTGTCAAACCGACATCCATCCATCCAATCATCAATCCCTTCCCACCGCAGCCCTTCGCTTTTCCATCCTTTTTTCTTTTTCTAGAAAAGATATAATAAAAGCCCTATAGAAATTCTTTTGTTTTTGGGTTGCCCACATTGAGAAAAGAAGACCGTTGTTCCATGGCCGATCCCAATATCAGACGTGAACGCCGTCGCTATGCAAACAAACATCATCTGGCGCATGCTGCGCTAATTGTATACAGGAATTGTTGTGTGTGAGTGTGTGTGATATGAGGTGTAATGAGTATGAGGTAGATAATAAAGGAAAATTAAAATCCGAGGGCCTTTTCTAGCCAGGGGTCGAAGTATTCGCAGCTCTCGGGACTGACAGCTCCGCCGGGAGCGCAGAGCTTAAAAACCGGACAATTGCCGCAGGGTGCTTCGGTCATGCCGTTCTTTACTAGCCTGTCGTCGATGCCTGCGTCGTCGGTCCGGGGCTTGCGCGCTTGTTGGGATTTGACTTGTTCGGGGTTCTTGACGGATTTGTAGAATTCGCCGTTGTTCAGGGATACTAGCTTGTTGTCGTAGCAGAGCATCTCTAGGAGCTGCGTGATACTCTCTTCGCCCAGGCGGACCGGTGTGATGCCACTCTCGTTCACGGCGGCTGTTAGCTGAGGTATGGTGGGGTAGCCCTGATACCCGGCTGGGAAGGGGAGGTACTCCTTTGGAGCGCCTTCTTGCTTGACAGCTACACCTCCGTCCGCGGTCTTCATGCGTTTGTTTCGAGGACCGTCCGAGGAGGGGGCCTCGTACCAACTTTTCCGGCTCACGGAGTACTCGATAAAGCCGGCGACGCTGTTGATGAAGTTCTCGTCCAACACTCCGTCGGTAAACCAGGCTCCTCCAGTCACGTCTTCACTCGGGGCGAGGTTCGCCAACATGTACATCTTCCGGCTTGGGAATTTGACATTGTGAACGCTTTTGATGTAGCTTTTCGTTTCCAATGACTTGAGGCAGCGATCGAGAATGGATTTGTGGAGGTTGGTGCGGTTGCCAATTGCGCGGACCCAGATACCGGACCGTCCTGTCGAATGGATGACATTGTAGACTAAACTCTCGTCGGGGCTTAGGTCTCGAAGTCTAAGCAGGAGGGTTAGTGGGAAGAGTTCCTAAGTCAAGTTCTCAACGATTTAAAATAGTCCTACTTTTCAGCATCATCCCGCGAAATAATCTTCCAGGCTAAGCGGTCATTTTTGCCCTGGAGAAGCCGAAAGAGCTTCTGGTTAACGAGCGACTGGGCGCAGCTCAAGAGAAGGGCGAGGTCATTCTTGGGGACAATGTTCAGACCCAAAAGATCTTGCTGATAGAACAGATGATCGGAAGGGAACTGGTTGACACAGGCGTCGTAAAGTCGAGAGGCCAGTTCGTTGACCGAACTGCCTGACGGCCCCGCGGAGGCCATTTTCACGACGACGATTGTAGTGGAGTCGTTAACAGGAAACTATCACCGGACGGGCTCGTGAAGGGGCATGATCAAGAATGCATCCCAGGTCGGACGGTCGCTGCAGAAGCCGGGACAAAGCAATGCCCGGGGAGTTGGCAGGGAAAGCAGGCGCAAAGTTGACGGTCGTCGAGAGGGAGAATCGAGTTTCGCAGGCCGAAAAGAAGATGTTTTTGGCGGCTTTTCTTACCCTTTGGGTTTAGCGGGGGAGTCACTTTGGCCCGGAAGGGTTTAGGGCCAGTCCTAGCTTTGACAGCCTGTGTCTGCCTTGCAGCCTTATTGCCTCATGATCTGTGCTGTGGCCTCAGGCTGGAAGCCTGGCTCTCGGAAATTTCGAGAAGCTCCCGGCAAAAGAGAAGAAGCTCCGGCTTAACTGATCTGCCCGGTCCAGCTGCCCCCGTCTCTCACTTATTTCCCCAACTCACCACCACGCTTCCATCCTTTTGCTTCTACATCATATACCCCTTGGAAGTTATACAGCATGGCTGACGCTCTGAAAGCTGAAGGCAACAAGGCCTTCTCCGCAAAGGACTATGCTACTGCGGTGTATGTATCTTTCTCCCCCGGTTTACCCCGCTTGCAAAAACGTCTGGGAGGATCTCAGCCATGGACCGCAGCTGATTGGCCTATAGTGAGAAGTTCACCCAAGCTATCGAAATCGAGCCCTCAAACCACATTCTCTACTCCAACCGCTCGGCTGTCTACTCCGCGCAATCCCAATACGAGAAGGCTCTCGAGGATGCCAACAAGGCTACGGATCTCAAGGCGGACTGGTCGAAGGGATGGCTCCGCAAGGGTGCCGCTTACCGTGGTCTAGGCGACCTCTGTAAGTTGAGAGATGTAGTGCGATGAGACTGGATCTGGGTTACTAATGCGTGTGTAGTGGCTGCCCACGATGCGTACGAAGAGGCCCTCAAGCTCGAGCCTACCAACGAACAGGCCAAGACCGGTTTTAATGCTGTCAAGAGGGCTATCGAGGCCGAGGCCACGGCCGACGGTGTTACTGGTGACCCTATGGGAGGACTCGGTGGTATCTTCAACGACCCTCAGATGTATCAGAAGCTGGCCAGCAACCCCAAGACCTCACCGCTTTTGGCCGACGCCGACTTCATGGCCAAGCTCCAGCGCATTCAGCAGAACCCGAACAGCGTTGGTCAGGAGATTCAAGACCCTCGCTTCTTGCAGGTTATGAGTGTGTTGCTGGGTATTGACATGAGCTTCGGCGCTCCCCCGGAGGGGGCTAGCTCTGCCGGTGCTGCCCCCGAGGCTGAGGAGGATGTGCCCATGCCTGATGCTCGCCCTGCCGCTGCTGAGAAGAAGGAACCTGAGCCGGCACCCGAGCCCGAGGCCGAGCCTGAGGACGAGGAGGCCATCGCCAAGAAGAAGGCCCAGGAAGCTGCCGACGCCGAGAAGAAGATTGGTAACGACTTCTACAAAAAGAAGCAGTTCGATGAGGCTATCGAGCACTACAACAAGGCCTGGGAGCTGCACAAGGATATTACGTACCTCAACAACCTTGGTGCTGCCAAGTTCGAGAAGGGTGACCTCCAAGGCGCCATCGAGACCTGCCAGAAGGCCGTCGAGGAGGGCCGTGAGCTCCGTGCTGACTTCAAGGCTCTTGCCAAGTAAGATACCTGTGCGTGCGATCTACCGACGCGTTTGCTAATTCGATTGTCTACAGGGCCTTCGGAAGAATCGGTACTGCACACGAGAAGCTGGGCGACCTTGCCCAGGCTATCGAGTACTACCACAAATCGCTCACTGAGCACCGCACACCCGATGTCCTGACTAAGCTGCGCAACGCCGAGAAGGCCAAGGCCAAGGCCGAGAAGGAGGCCTACGTTGACCCCGCTGAGGCCGAGAAGGCCCGTGAACTGGGACAGAAGAAGTTCCAGGAGGCTGACTGGCCTGGTGCCGTCGAGGCCTTCTCCGAGATGGTCAAGCGGGCGCCCGAGGACCCCCGCGGTTACTCCAACCGTGCTGCCGCCCTCATCAAGCTGATGGCCTTCCCTCAGGCCGTTCAGGACTGCGATGAGGCCATCAAGCGTGACCCCAAGTTCATCCGTGCCTACATGCGCAAGGCTCAGGCCTTGATCGCCATGAAGGAGTACAACAAGGCTCTGGATGCCTGCACGGAAGCTTCCGAGCACGACGATGGCACCCACGCTCGCGAGATCGACCAGCAGCAGCAGAAGTGCCTGGAGGCTCAGTTCAGCGCCCGTGCCGGCGAGACCGAGCAGCAGACCATGGAGAGAATCCAGAACGACCCCGAGGTAAGCCATGACCATGACCTGTGAGAGCCTCAAGGATGTCTCGACTAACTCTTCATAGATCATGTCCATCCTCCAAGACCCTGTCATGCAGAGCATTCTGCAACAGGCCAAGAGCGACCCTGCCGCTCTGCAGGAGCACATGAAGAACGCCCAGGTGCGGATGAAGATCCAGAAGCTGATGGCGGCTGGTGTCATCCGTCTGGGACGGTGAGGAGCGAGCAGTATAAATGAAAAGCCCACACATTCCTAGTAATGCAAATGAAGAAAAAGCGGACTGGATTGGCACGGCGATTAATTGATGTCTTTGTTTTTTACGGCGATTACGATGCATGTGATTCTAGTGACATGAGATGACATCTGAATTGATTATATATCAGTTGCAAGTTGCAACGTTTGCTAAGACCCGACTAGTAGTAGTCCACGGAGAAACTTAACCCCCACCCTAGCTTAAGAGTTACTAATTGAAGACAGCAAGTAACTAACTAGTACCTAGTGACGGCGATGACCGAGATGCAAAATAGTAGTAGTAGTAGACCGCCACGCCACATGCCTGCTCCCTTGCTTAATACTACAGCGAAGCCACATCAAGATTGCAGACAGGCCTTTTTTCTGGATCCAGATCTGGCTTTAGATCCGAATCGGATAGCCGATATCCGTTCCAGTGATCAAATTCAGAGCAGTATCTCTTTGACTAAAGTAGTAACTTAACAGATGGTCCAGGTGGGTAATCCCCGATCCCCGACGCGATCTAAATTCCGAACCACTTTTCTTCCCTTTTTCAGCGCATTCCAGCCACACCACACCACATCACATCACACTTTGCCGACATAAGCCAAAGGGCAGAAGAGAAATAGAATAACTCCGAAAATATCTATTCCGACTCTTCCGATAAGAATGAATGAATTCACATTTGACTACTGTAGGCGAGGTAATAACTACGAAAGGTACTCCGTCCCTTGTCTCAAAGATCTAATTCCCCAGCAACCACTACCTCCTCCCTCTCCATCAACACATCTTCCAATGGTCGTCGGGCGTATCCAAAGAGTAAATCCCGCGGTAGGCGAAACCTCGGACATAAGTGGTAGTTAGTTAGTTCTACCTTAGCTTACCCCCACTGTTCGTTCCGAAGACCCAGCCTCAGTCTTAGTTCCAGTTTTCAGTTCCCAGCCACTCGTGAATTAAACCTCAAAAGGATAACTTAATTTGAGTTTCGTGTTGTGTGGGATTTTGATTCCAACGAGTGCGTCGTCATCGGGTAGCATTCATACCAGATAGATAGATAGATAATTTAGATATATAGTATACAAGAACTGTTGACTCTTTGTAAGTAGATAAATAGTAGTAGTAGTAGTAGTAGTGGTGGTGGTGGTATATCTCCATTATCTCCAATCGGACCCGAAAGGAATTGTCTGATATCCACTAGTCACCAATGTAGTATGTGGGACAAATCGCGCAGTGTGAGATTACATTGTGGCAAATTTGTTTTTCTTTTCTCCGCCCATTCATCCATTCATCCATCAAGTCTGGGTCCGTGCCGTTTGGTTCATCGTTCCTGCTGTGGTACGTACGTAGTACTTTTTTTTTACTGGGCAGCGGTCTGCCCACTCTTCATTCCCTCTTTGGGTATGTGTGTGGCTGGTGAGAAGGAAGAGAGCAAAACCCGCTGGGCTGAGCTGTAGCTAGTACAATGTGGTTAGTCAGGTTTAATCAGTGTGGAAGTCATTTCCGGATTGTTTGCTTTGCTTGTTTGTTTGTTAGTTGGTTAGTTGGGGGTGTGGATGTAGATGTGGATTAGGGTTGGGGTTTCGTTTGGGATGGGGTTTGTATATATCATTATTTGTTTGTGAGTAGTACTACGGAGTTACACTTATGGAGGGTGGCATACTGTGTGTACTGTGTAGGTGGTGAGATTTGCATTACAGCCAAGTAGATAGGCCGATCGATAGTGGTGGATTCCCGACACGGGCTGATAACAGTTAGTAGTTAAAGAGAAAGTGTGTGAGAAAATTGCAGATCCGTTGGAACAAAACAACTATCATGTCAAAGTTTTAACTAACTAACCGACTGCTTTTTTTCTTTTCCCTTTTCTTAATTCAGATTGGATCTACGATGATTGCGTAGACAGGGTACAAGGGTTTGTTTCATTTTTTTTTTTCTTGTTATTTGGTTGCTTTATTTTTTTTTTGTTCCTGATTTATAATTGTATCACTTTAGTGTGCTGTAAGATAATAATAAATACCAAGTGTGAATCGTGAAAGCGCTGTAGCCTGCCTGCATTATTATGTATACTTGCAGATTTGTTCTTTTCTTATTGTTGCAGCCTTGGAAAAGGATAATGGGATAAATGGACAGTTCATTGCATGCCACGTGTAACAGCACCTTGCCACTTTTTCCTGCATGGGATAACGATGTTAGCGCGGATGATGATGATGATGGATCCCTAGTTAGAATTTAGAGGTTATACTTGACTAGGAAGGGGTTACGCATGCAGTGTAAACTTGGAAGGGAATCAATCCTAGTATTCTTAGTAGTTTAGTACTACTATTCTCGCTCTTTGGATATTGGATATTAAAATCTCCATACTACTACTAAAGAGGAGAGGGGGTATGGACCTTAGGGCTACCAACCAAACTTGCAGTTAATATTCTCAGGTCAGAATTGACAAATAAGAACGAGCATGACTCGTGGCATTGGGACTGTAGTCAATGTGTGCTGGTCAACACTAAGCCCTGGGAGGGTTAGAATTCCGGCTCTAGGATGGTTAGTTAGCGAAGAAAGCCAAACCAAAGCCCGAAAGAAACTGCGAGAGAGAGGAGAACTTCGGAAATCAGAGGCAGAGGAACCCGCAATTGTGGCGGAAAACCAAGAAAGGGGGGGGAAGAGGAGAGGAGAGAAGACCCCAATCGGTGGCGGTGCAGGGCACAATCCATAATGCCAATAGATCGTAGACCGGCGCCCACTAGTCGATCGCGCCGGGGATGGTCCGCTGCTTGACAGGATATCCATGGTAGATGGCGTTTCGGATCGTGCACTCTCGGCGGAGATACTTCTTGTTGTTCGTGTAGATAATTAACTGGGTGAAACTGAAGAATTTCTTTGATTGTTGTTATCTCCCGATTAAATTGGGGGAAAAAGATGGAATATGGCCACTGCCATCTGTATATAGTAGTACTTTGTAAATAGTTGGAGATCTCCTGATCGTTAGTACTTAGGGAGGAGTGAGACGGCGTACCGGGAATCTGGAAGGGGGCAGATGTGGGGAGAAGGGCTCACAGTAATGCAGATGCTGCCTCCACGAGAATTGGTCGCCTTGGAGGCGATCGGCAGCCGTTCCCTTCTTCTCGAAGATCCTCTCTCTTTTGATTTTCTCGTCTTTGCTTTTTTTGGGTGCTCTTGATGTCATGGCCACATCTGCCGCATAGATATTAATTACTTATTAAATGAAAACTGTCACAATTGAGTCCAGTGGTACCGACATTAGGTCGTGCAGCCGTCACCGTTTCGAGTCCCTACAGTACTAGTACTAGTTATGTGATATGATATGATGATATATCCCACCTAGGCAATGGCAATAATAATAAAAAATAATCGGAATTGCTGAAAGGGTCTAAATTTGTCTGGATCGACCAAGAATAGCAAAGTGGCCTTCACCAGCCACGATTCCTTTTCCCTTTCCTCTTTTTCCCTGACGCAAGTGGCTAGAAAGTTGCTGTGACTTTTGCGGAACTCAATCCACTCATCTCTTTTTCGTCCCGATCGATCATCTTCTCGTTTGTCTCCTCGGTATCCTCTTCCCTTCTTCCTCTTCCTCCCCGTTTCCTCCTCATTACTACGTATCTTTTCCCTTTTCCCCTCCCCTTTCCTTACTCTCCTCCCCCATCATCATCATCCGGCTTTAACCTTCAGGTAAGTAAAGCTTGTTTCCCGCTTCTCTCTCTCCCCCAATTCCCTCCTTACCCATTCCCTTTGCTCCTATCCCCATCCTACTACTACCTTCCATTCCCCCCGACCATCCCCGACATTTCTCCCATCCATAGCTTTCCCGGAGCTGCCGTGCCTGAGCCACCTCCCCGCTGCGGAGGCCTTCCACCGTCCCACGGCAAGGCAACCATCCAAACACTAAGCGCCAGCAATCTATCCACTTCCTTCGGCGTGGTCCCTCAACTCCTCTATCCTTATCCACTTTTTTTTCTTCGCTCCCTCTCTGTGTCCTTTGTAGTACCTTTGTTCGTCTCACATCCTTATTTCTCAAACTTCCCCCCTCCCCCTCCCCCTTGCGATTTCCCCTCACCTACCATCACCACCCACCAAACGAACAGGGGAAAAGGCAAGTTCCATTGACCGGATTATCCAGGTTGTACCGGTTGGGGATTTGTAGTAGGTGAATTTTCACCCGAGGCTCGCACCCTCTTCCTCAAACCCCTCAGAGCCATGGCGTCGCAAGACGTAGAGGGCAGCAAGGCCGAATTGAAGCAGCAGGGCGCCATTGAGGTCGCCCAGCAAGCCTCCCAGGACCCCCAGTCCCACCTCCGGGCCGAAGCTGTCGAAAAGGCTCTGGTCGAGGAGACCCGAAAGGCTGGCGTCCCGGCCTATCAATTCGATCCCGATGCATCCCCGGACGACAAAGCTGCCGCAGCAAGAGCTGTAGGTTCTCCCCGAGATTGACGGGTGTGTCGCGTGGGCATCTGTGAGCTGACAAGAGCTTCCCTGGTATCTAGCGTCTCCCCCCAGGCTTTCATCATGACCATAAACCGAAAGGTGTGGCTGTCGTGACCGACAAAGTAAGCTTCATACCCAAATCATTGCCTTTGTCTGTTCTGCTTTTTACCCCAGAGAACTATCGCTAAGCACTGTTGGCCTACTATAGGACGACGGCACTCCTGATCAGTACGACCTACCCCCTCCGAGATCCGCCACCGACCTCCTGCAGGAAAAAGCCGACGAGGCCTCGGCTGCTCCAAATGGTGAAGCTCATGTCGAAGAAGACATGCGCTGGGCTCGCGACCGGACCGGTTGGGCCCCGCAGTTTGAACACCAACCAACACAGGAAGAAAAGGAGGAAGGCACACTCCTGGATCACCAGACGTTCCTGGAGGGAAGACTAGATGACAAGTTTTTTGGAGGTGAGGAGATCTGCAGCTCTTAGCCGCTCGAGGGGAAACTGACCTGACTGCTTAGATTGGTACCACAACGCTGGTGTCATCGTGTTCGCCTGTCTCTCGTCATGGGTTATCGCAGTTCTAGGCGGAGGTTTGGCCTGGATCTTCATTGTCATGGCCGCTTGTAGTACGTACTACCGCACGTCCATTCGCCGCGTCCGCCGCAACTTCCGAGACGATGTGAACCGTGAAATGGCCAAGCAGCGCCTGGAAACCGACACCGAGAGTCTGGAATGGATCAACAGCTTTTTGGTCAAGTTCTGGCCTATCTACGCTCCCGTCCTCTGTGATACGATCATCAACTCGGTTGATCAGGTCCTGAGTACCTCAACCCCGGCAATGATCGACAACCTGCGCCTGAAGACTTTCGTGCTCGGTTCGAAGCCGCCGCGTTTGGAGCACGTCAAGACATACCCCAAGACCGAGGTCGACACCGTCATCATGGATTGGAAGTTCAGTTTCACGCCCAACGACACTATGGATTTGACTGCCCGCCAGCTGAAGAACAAGATCAACCCCAAGGTTGTTCTGGAAGTCAGACTGGGTAAAGGTCTGGTCAGCAAGGGTCTCGATGTTATCGTCGAAGACATGGCTTGCACCGGTTTGATGCGCGTCAAGGTTAAGCTGCAAATCCCGTTCCCTCATATCGAGCGAGTGGATGTGTGCTTCATGGAACCCCCCGAGATCGACTATGTCTGCAAACCCCTTGGTGGTGATACCCTCGGTTTCGACATTAACTTCATCCCTGGTCTGGAGACTTTCATCAAGGATCAGATTCACAACAATCTGCGCCCGATGATGTACGCTCCGAATGTCTTCCCGGTTGAAATCGCCAAGATGCTGGCTGGCAACGCAATAGACCAAGCCATTGGTGTCGTTGCTGTCACTCTGCACGGCGCTCGCCAGCTCAAGAACCCTGACGCGTTTGCCGGTACCCCTGATCCGTATGCGGTTGTCTCTCTGAACAATCGGGTTGAACTGGGTCGCACCAAGACCATCAGCGATACCGACAGCCCCAGGTGGAACGAAACGATCTATGTTATCATTACGTCCTTTGCTGAGTCTTTGACTATTACCCCGTATGATTGGAACGAGTTCCGCAAGGACAAGGAATTGGGAGCTGCCACCTTTCCTCTGGAGAGGCTCGAACAGCAGGCCGAACACGAGGGTCTCTTCCTGGAAGTCATGGCAGGCGGAAGATCTCGCGGTGCGGTTCATGCGGATATTCGGTTCTTCCCTGTCTTGGAGGGAACCCAGCTTGAAAATGGTCAGACTCAACCGCCCCCGGAAATGAACACCGGTATCGCTCGTTTCGTCGTGGAGCAGGCTAAGGACTTGGACGCATCGAAGAGTATGGTTGGCCAGCTCAACCCTTACGGTGTCCTCCTCTTGAACGGCAAGGAAATCCACATCACGAAGAAGCTGAAGCGCACGAACAACCCTATCTTCCAGAATGCCTCCAAGGAATTCCTGGTCACTGACAGGAAGAGTGCCCGTCTCGGTCTTGTCATCAAGGATGATCGTGACCTTGGTAGGGACCCGGTCATCGGTACCTACCAGATCAAGATGAACGACATGCTCAAGATGATGGAGAAGGGCCAGCAATGGTTCCATCTGAACGGTGCT